AGACCAGTCACCCTGCACAAGGAGAGAGAGCAGCAGTGACCGGTCTTTATTACAGCGGGGGGTGGAGATGAGACCAGTCACCCTGCACAAGGAGGGAGAGCAGCAGTGACCGGTCTTTATTACAGGAGGGGGCGGAGAGGAGACCAGTCACCCTGCACAAGGAGAGAGAGCAGCAGTGAGCGGTCTTTATTACAGGAGGGGGGCGGAGACAATACCAGTCACCCTGCACAAGGAGGGAGAGCAGCAGTGACCGGTCTTTATTACAGAAGCAATGTCCATGTATCTTGTAGCACTCCTTACCGGATATCCCAAATAATAACAGGTGCTTAAAATGACTGCAGATGGCACGGCTCACAGTGAAACTTGAATAAAGATAACACCAGCACGAGAGTTTCCAAATCGGTGCAAATCCATTTTTATTGATGTCACTGAAATTATTTGGAGGGGGCGGAGACAAGATCAGTCACTCTGCACAAGAAGAGACAGCAGCAGTGAGCGGTCTTTAACCACTTCAAGACCAGGTGTTTAGACCCACTTCCTGGCCAGGCCATTTTTCAGTATTCAGCGCTGCGATACTTTGACTGACGTTTATTCCGTCATGCAGCGCTGTACTGAAATGAATTTTATACCATTTTTTTGGGGACAGATAGGGCTTTCTTTTGGTGGTATTTAATCACCACTGGGGGTTTTATTTTTTATTATAATTAGGAAAAATTATTGAAAATTTTGAAAAAAAAACGTTTTTTGTAACATTATGTTAGGAAACATTTATTATTACCCAGTTTTTTGGTCAAATATAAAAGATCAGGTCACGTCGGTTAAATAGACACCAAACATGTCAAGCTTTAAAATTGCGTGCACCCGCGACATCGCAGAAAACGACGGCAACCAAAATTGGCCATAGGCGACACTTTAAACGTTTTTACCGCTCATCAGTTTAGTGTTATCAGTGATTGATGGCCCTAGACTTATTGCTCTCACTGCGACGTTCGCGGCGATATGTAACATGTGCGGCGTAATGGGCGCAATCGTCTTTTTTGCACGTATGCGCCCCCGACGCATGTTTGCATGCGTGTATGTATGGGTGGGGACTTTAAAAAAAAAATTTTTTTTCTTTAATTCTTTTTTATGTGTAACTTAAAATTTTTTTGGGGGGGGGACTTAAATTTTTTTTTTTTTTCACTAAACTTTATTGCTATCACATACGGGGGCTAATAAAACCCCCCTATGTGATAGCAAAATATGTGACAGGTCCTCTTTATGGAGACATCAGGGGTCTCCAAGACCCCTAATGTCACCTAGGACCCCCCAAAAGAAGCTGATGAAGCAGAGATCTGCTCCATCAGCTTCTTTCCAGCTTCTGAAGCTGGAGAGTGACACAAGAATGCGGAAGTGATGTATTATACAACACTTCCGCATTCTTTCAGCGGAGAGGGGACCGGAGGGAGCTCGTGTACCGAGCTCCCTCTGATCCCATGTGACAGAGGCGACATGCTGATCCCGGGCTCGCACCGGGCACAGCGGAGCTCGGGATCAGCGGGACAACAGCGGGGGGGACCGCGGAGGGGGGGGGGACACCCGATCGGCACCCCATACATGCGATCGGCCGGCTCTACAGCCGGCGGATCGCATGTATATTAACGGGCATCGCTGCCCGTTTTTAAATACCGGCCATTTCCCGCTCGCAAGGGGGCGTGTCTGAGCGGACGTCTAGAGACGCCCGCTCAGATCGAGAGAGCTCCTGGCCGGCCGTTTTTTTACAACGGCCGGCCCGGAGGTAGTTAATACAGGAAGGGGCGGAGACGAGACCAGTTTCCCTGCAAAAGGGAAGAGCAGCAGTGAGGGGTCTTTATTACAGGAGGGGGCGGAGACGAGACCAGTCACCCTGCAAAAGGGAAGAGAGCAGCAGTGAGGGGTCTTTATTACAGGAGGGGGCGGCGACAAGACCAGTCACCCTGCACAAGGAGAGAGAGCGGCAGTGACCGGTCTTTATTACAGGAAGCTCCAAGTCTCACACTGGATTACTGCACAGATCTGGAAGAAACACACAAAGCTCACCAAGATTCAAGAAGAATACACAGGGCTCTGGTATGAGGACGATATCTGCTGATCCCGGAGTTTAGCTTTAATGGATATTTGTGGATTCTGTTGTAAGGAGTTTCGGGTAAAGCGAGGAGCACGGAGCTGTAATCTTCAGCAACCAATCAGAGTTCTTCTTTCACTGATCTGAATATATAACCTGACATCTGATTGCCTGTCTGGGTCTCCTGTAGTTCCTCTCTCCTCTTTGCATTACATGATATTGTGAACAGTTACGGTGAAAGGAAACTTTAGGAAAACACATTTTCGGGAGGGTGATGGAATGATTGAAGGACTTATCTGTGTCTGGAGCTGCGTGCGCGTTCTTGTATCTTCTGATTTCTGTCTTCTCTTTCACATGGAACAGCCAAGGAAGGTGCCGGAGGTCTAGACGAGGAGGACTTCATCAGAGGGTTTGAAGATGTTCCAACCGTGCAGGTAATAATTGGTTGCCATGGACAAATGCTCCGGATTCTGTCTGCTCCAGTTTTGATAAATTCCCCCCAGTATTGCGCAGTTCCTGATTAGTAGCCCAATCTAAAAACATTCCAGGAGCATCCAAGCAAAAGTTGCGCCAAATCATACAGTCGCTTTTCTTTAGAGATCAGCCAGAGTAGAAAAGCCTCTCCCCTGCTGGCATGCTGTGGACAAGGACCCTTGCTCTCTGTGGGAAGCAGCGGTCTCTCTGCAGAGGTCCAGCATTCCTACTGCTGGGGTGGAACTAGAGCTCTCCAGTGGGCAAGAAGCTTTGCTGATTGGAGAGCTCTGATTCAGACCTGTGCAGAGAGACCGCTGCTTCCACACAAATGGCAGGGGTTCTTCTCTGCAGCATGCTGGCGGGGGGCAGGCTGCTCCTCTCAAGGTGTGGCTGCTTTCTAAAGAAAACCCATTTGTAACACTCTGCACACTTTTTTGTTTTTGATGCATTCGGAGTGTATTTAGCTGATTTTTTAGTTGGGCTGCAAAATCCGACTATGCCGCGGTGACATGGTTTTAGGCATAGGTGTAATGGCCCGCTCAAACCGCGACATGGTGGCGTCAATGGGCACCATCCGTAACAAGGAAAAGTGTCATACATTGGGGCTGGGCTGAAAGGGCCGGCACAGCTCCAACGCAGATGATGTGAATGGAGCCTAAATATAAAGAAATACAGGCAAAATTCTGGCGGCCTTCATGAGGTTGCACTTTGTATACCCGTGTAGGCTGCTGCTTACATCACCCCACTGCCCCAGCCTTGGATGGGGGAGGGGTCAAAACTGGTACTGGCCACTTTCTTGGCAATTGGGGCAGACTGGGTTGACTGACCACAGCAGGGACAGACTTGGTGCTCATCTAACGCAACATATCCAAAAGGCCCCGAGACTTCAAAACAAATTCACTAAGGTCTTGTTCACACCGAGCGCGGAGCAGATGCAGTTACAGAACGCATCAAAACTGCGTCCAATGTATTCCAATGGTATTTTGGGCTCTAGTTCACACCAGAGCATTCAGTTCCAAGACATGTGGAAAAACTGCAGCAAGCCCTATTTTTACCTGCTAAAGCCCATTTCTGCAGCTTGCAGAAACTCATGCAGATCCGGTCCGGATTCGGTGTGAACAAGTCCTTAGTAAAATAACAAAATAATATAAAAAACATAAATAAGCTGACTGACGCTGGTGAGGCCACTCACATGAAACAAGGTTCCCCTTTGGTGAGCACCCTGAAAATGATGGTAGAGTCCGAGTAGTTTTAGTTATATATCGTTTAATTAGTTAAAACATCCGACACGTTTCATGGGCTCAAAACTCTTCCTTCATCAGAGACTAGATAGGAGGAGCCAGCTGTCACTCACACAGCTGGGCGGATCCAGACATTGTCGGGATCCGCTCCGGCTGCGGCGTCTCAGTATACCGCGAGCTGTAGCTCCCTATATACTGAGCCTAGGGTGACGGGAGGACGCTAGTTTGTGTCCTCCCGTTACCCTAAGGAGAACTATGGGGAAAAGCCCCGACCCCAAAGTTCTCCTTTTTAATATGTGGCCATGGTTTATCCTGTTTTTGCATCAAGTTGTGCGCTCATCCTTCCGTTATATCTGATGGCGATACAATGAGATTTTACGTTCTGTGGATCTCTACTATTGGCACGATAACATTGTTTTGTCTTTATAATGGTTTATCCTGAACCCTTCAAATAACAACTATTCAGCATTATAAGCGATACCCGTAGTGTTTGGCAAGCGGAAGTGTTTGGTCAGGTGAAGGATATATGGGACTTTTACATTATTTGATCAATGGAAGTTATATGGGTATGTGATCACACGGATTGATCTATACAGATTGTTTTTCGGTTTTGCACAGATGATATATTTGTATTTATATGTTTTGATTTGGTATAAAGTCGGGGGCAGGGCGCAGTACAGGAGATATTGGGCTTTCAGTGAAATAGTTTGGTATTGCCCTGAACTGGTAGGGGTAAAATATCTGATCTTGTGATGCCTTGTAGCAATTATAAAATGTAACTTCATCTAAACATTTTTTATTTTTTAGATCTATTCCAGTAGAGATCTGGAGGAATCTTTGAATAAAATTCGGGAAATACTTTCGGATGATAAGCATGACTGGGAGCAGAGGATAGTTGCGGTAAGAAGCTTCTTTCTTTCCATCATCACAAATGCCTGAACCGACTTCTTGTGTGGAGCTGATGATGAGTGGGACAGCCGGGTGGTAATAGGGGGTCCTGTGTGCTTTGGGTGATTTGAGACCCCGATACCTTACCTATGCAGAGGACAAAGTGACAGGACAGGGTCTTTTATAAGCCCACCGAGCACATTGTCCTCACCTTTACACACACCACCCCACTTGCTCCTGTCTCTGTCTCAGGGGATATCCATTTTAAAGCAGTCATATTTTTTTTGCTTTGAAGAGCGTTCTAGTTAGAACTAGTTCAGTAAATTGATCCAAATGTGACGGGTCAGGGATGCCCAGCAAGCATAATTTGGGGTCGGGCCCTATTGACAAGTTAAAGGAGAACTATGGGGTTAAGGCTTTTCCCCATAGTTCTCCTTTAAAGATATTTATAACATGTTTGATATGGGCGCCTGTTTTGCATGTCAGCCCCATGAAATAATGTACACAGTGAAGTTTGGTTTATCACATGCCCATGTCTGTTATTTGCTTTGTCTTTGCAGCTTAAGAAAATTCGTTCGCTCCTCCTGGCCGGTGCTGCCGAGTATGACAATTTTTTCCAGCACCTGCGGCTGCTTGATGGGGCCTTCAAGCTCTCAACTAAGGATCTGCGTTCCCAGGTGGTCAGAGAAGCTTGCATTACCCTGGGGTGAGTGAAGAGCCGACGTGTTCTGACAGAGAGATGTTCACGGTTGCTGCACGCCTGCTGTATGCACGCTGTGTACAGACTCATGTATACTACATACATCCCGATGTCTTCACGGCAGCTTCTATGTTTCTAAACATTATATATAGATGGCCGTCATTATTCCCAGAAATCACTTTAATTCTCTTTTATCTTCTGTGTCAGGCATCTCTCATCAGTTTTGGGAAACAAATTTGACCACGGAGCAGAGGCAATCATGCCCACAGTCTTCAATCTTGTCCCGAACAGCGCCAAAATTATGGCCAGTTCCGGTGTGGTTGCCGTTCGCTTAATTATCCGTGTAAGTACCGAAAAGTCTGTTTGTTGTTCGCAGCGTCTTTGTGTCGGAGAGGTTACAGGACAGTGATTGGCTTATTTACTTCCCGGTAATGGACAATTTAGAAATGAGCAGTTTTGTCTCTCACAAACTTAAAGGCGCATGCGAGAATCAACAGACGGAAGCAGTAATTACCAAATAGACTGCACACATTTTGGAGTAGTTGCTTGCAGAGAAGTGGGACAGCTGCAGCTTCACTGAAATGGTGCGTGGCCTAGCATGAGAAAATGGAAACATCCACCCAGGGCTTCTCAGGCAGGTTCCAGTGAGGCCCGGGGTCACACTATTGCTTAGCAGTGATGGCCGTTACCACACTATGTACTTAAAGTGACGTTAAACCCTCAGATTTTTTAACATAAAACAATACTGTAATGTGCGCCTTACTGTAATCCATGGTAGTTTCCCTTCTCTTTGCTGCTCTTCCTTTTAAATCCTCATGTCTTCTCATGCTTGGGGAGAACTTCCCTTTGCAGCTGACTGCCTCTTCCTGTAGTGCTGGCTCAGGTTGTGAACCTATACACAGACACCGTGTATCCATTCCAGAGACAAGGCAGTCTGCTGCAAAACAGAAGTTCTCCCCCAGCATGAGAACAGATACAGATTTAAAAGGAAGGCACACATTACAGTAGGGATGCACAGATACTTTTCGAGTACCAGTGCAGATACTTAGCATTTTCATGAGAACTCCCAGGGTTGCAGAGGTTGCAGCTGGGACCGGGCTCTGGCGCTCCACCACTGTCCTGAAATCATTAGTCTGCATTGTTTTAGAAAAACCGTCACATGACAATAAACAAAAATGTATCAGTACTCGTACTTGTAAGTACTCGGCAGGTACCAGTACTCGTACTCGCAAAACTGGTATCGGTGCTCCTTACAAATGACAGCTGCCTCCTAATTTTTGAATTTTTCTCTAGTGTAGTCTTGGAGCTTAAAGGTATCTGTACCTGTACTCGTACTTGGTATCTGTGCAACCCTACATTACAGTATTGGTTTATGTTAAAAAATCTGAGGGTTTAATGTCACTTTAAGTGCGTTAAGGGGGCCTTTCCTTTTAAATAGCACTCCAAGGTACTACGCTAAAGTGTGTTGCCCTGCATTGAGTTCCCAAAAAGGGGCCCGGAGCCGTTTTGGCCATGCTGAATGCACTTGGCAGCCTCTTCAAAATGAATAAACGGTGCCATGGAACACCATGGAAGTGTGAACCTTGCCTTAAGGAACAGAGGAAAACGGCAAATTCAAGTCAACTCCACCTACATTTTCTTTTCTTATTGAACCCCTATCCGACCCCCCCCCCCTGCTCTCGCCCACACACCCACACGCACCTCCTCGATGCTCTGGCGCTGTCCCCCAACTACCTCCTCAGTCCAGTGTTGGCAGTCCTCTTCAGGGCAGAATTAGACTTTCCTGGTCCAACTACGCGGCGCGTCGTCCTGCAAGCTGGACTCAGTTCTGAATGGCACTCACTTCATTATGTGAGCACCGCTTGGTGCTGGAAGAACGCCCACCACTGATGGACTATGTGGTGAAGTCGTGGGGGGGGGTTTCTCTAATTTGTGGAGTTCTGCTATCAGCGAGGATAAGGTCACAGACATTGAGGTCAGCCATACTTCTGAGCATGGGTCACCCAGCTCCAGGTCCAGATAAATATTGTTGCAGTGTCTGTTGATGATGATATTTTAGACATGACATAATGTGGATTCTTTTGTTTGTTTTTTTTTTTGCAGCATACTCATGTCCCGAGGCTCATACCAATCATTACAAGTAACTGCACCTCCAAGTCTGTGGCAGTTCGAAGGTTCGTAGTTTCTGATGTCTGAGCTTTTTCTGCTTGCGTCTCATTGAGCTCCTCTCTGTTTGTCTTTGATGTGTTGCCTCCCAGGAGATCCGAGTTCTCCCATAGGATCACAATGCTGCCGCTGCTTCTGTATATTCACTCTGTGCTCTCCATAGATTTACTGGCTTGTTATCTGTAGCTGTGGGCTGTACGGTTCTGTCAGTGTCAGCAAAGCGGATGAATGCCAAGTCCACTGAAAACTGATATTCCAGTTTTCGTATGATTCCTGGAAATGTAACATTTCTTATATCCAGCGGTGAAGTCTCCCTGACAGAATTCCAAGTTCTGTCTCATTTCTGTGCCCAGTACTAAGCCAAAAGATGTCATCACTCCTGAAGTGATACAGTTCCTTCCTCTGCCCAGATTATTATTATTATTGGTGTTTATATAGCACCAACAACCAAGCGCTTTACATAGTTAGCACATTCACATCAGTCCCTGTCCTCAAGGAGCTTACAATCTAAAGTCCCTATTGCACATGCATACATACAGGGCCAATTTCGACAGGAGCCAATTAACCGTCCAGCCATCCAGCATGTATTTAACCCCTTCATGACGGGGACCTTTTTTCCCATTTTTTGCACTCATGTTATATTCCCCATTTTAGGCCTGAAAATGACTTAAAACCCCCAAACATTATATATTTTCTGAATGACAAGACCCTATAGAATAAAATGGTGGTAGTTGCAAATTTTTAATGAAATATAAAAGATGAGGTTACAACGAGTAAAACGATACCCAACATGCATAGGTTACAAATTGCGTGCGTCCGTGAAACGGCGAAAAACTGCAGTACCCCAAAAAGTCCATAGACGCTTTAAAAGCCCCCACAGGTCATCAATTTAGAGATACCCCAAAATACTGGCCCTAGAATTATTGCTCTCACTCCGGCGTGCGCGGCGATACCCAACATGTGTAGCGCGTTCGTCGTTTTCATACGTAGGCGCACCCGACGCGTGTTTTATGTGGCGACGTACACTGTACGTCGTCAGTCACGAAGGGGTTAATGTGTGGGAGGAAACCAGAATACCTGGAGGAAACCCATGCAAACTCCATGCAGCTTATGACCTGGCCAGGATTCAAACCTGGGACCCCCCCTAGTGCTGACAGGCAGAATTGATAACCACTAAGCCACTGGGGAGAATTTATCAATACTGGAGCAGACAGAATCTGGAGCAGTTGCCCTTGGCAACCAATCAGCATCCATCTTTCATTTTCAAACCTTAAGTGAACAAACTGAAGAGAGAAGCTGATGGTTGCCATAGGCAACTGCTCCAGTTTTGATAAATTCCCCTCGCTGTGTTCTGATTGGGGACCCAGCATGGCGGAGAGTTTACTTCATATGTGTTCAAATAGCTGAACATAATACACACATGTCTATATTCTTCAATGTTTATATCTAACGTGTGCTTTTCTTGCTGTGTTGCTTGAGGTTTTGAGTTGCAAGTTCAAGAGTTAAAATACCAGCCACAGACTGCCCAACTGTACACGCTCTGGTCTGTGCAGGCGATATCCCGGTCTGATGTCACTAATTATCTGTGTGTTGTGTCTTTGCAGGCGCTGCTTTGAATTCTTAGATCTGCTCCTACAAGAATGGCAGACTCATTCACTTGAGAGGTGAGTGCACGTCACTGCTCCGTTGTGAGGAGATCTGGTGACCTACGTCCACAGTTCAGCAGCTCCGCTTTCCGTTATGGAATGGTAATTTAGGGCTGCAGCTTGTGGACTTTGTTTCTACAGATGTACTATAGAGCATCATTATATTCTGCCGCTCCTGCCCCTTCCATTAACAAGCAGACGAGTAGCGTATCTGATAATGTTTCCGGTCTTATCTGATCCGGTCTCTGGGTTCACCTCTTCTGGCTCCCTCCAACTATTCTTAAATCATGCTCCGGCCCTATTATACTGATCATTGAAATGTATTGTTTTAGTAGAAAATAATGATTGGAATTGTTTTTGTGTTTTCCATCGAAAACATTTTATTGAGAAGTTGGAAAGGTGGTCACACAGTTGTCCCGGCCATCCACGCCTGCATCAGATGAATGACCGATCAGGGGACTCCTGTTCTGTAGTGTCCATCCACACCTGCATCAGATGATAGGTCAGGTGCATCCTGGTTTGTCCCGCCCATCCACACCTGCATCAGATGATCAATGGGTCAGGTGCATCCTGGTCTGTCCCGCCCATCCACACCTGCATCAGATGATCAATGGGTCAGGTGCATCCTGGTCTGTCCCGCCCATCCACACCTGCATCAGATGATTCATGGGTCAGGTGCATCCTGTTCTGTCCTGCCCATCCACACCTGCATCAGATGATAGGTCAGGTGCATCCTGGTCTGTCCCGCCCTTCCACACCTGCATCAGATGACTGATGGGTCAGGTGCATCCTGGTCTGTCCCGCCCATCCACACCTGCATCAGATGATAGGTCAGGTGCATCGTGGTCTGTCCCGCCCATCCACACCTGCATCAGATGATAGGTCAGGGGACTCCTGGTCTGTCCCGCCCATCCACACCTGCATCAGATGATAGGTCAGGGGACTCCTGGTCTGTCCCACCCATCCACGTCTGCCAGGCTTGATTGGCAGGTTAAGCAAATGCTCCTGAGCCAACTGTCAATGTCCACAATCCTGCCCACTGCATCACTAATGTCCTGAAGCATCATGGGATTACTTGGATGTGCAGAAGAGGCAATATATACTGTATGTCCTGAGTGACCCTTCCCCCCAGCAGCCGGGTATACTTGTGCTGTGAAAGAAACACTGATAATGTCACAGCTTTTCTAAAAGGTAGATTCAGCTAAAAATAGTGAGGAGGCAGAAAACGGCACATTTATGTTGTGTTTGGGGTTAGAGAACTTTAGGGAAAATTTTCTGAACTTCCAGGATGTCAGTTTTAAATCCGTTCCCTCCAGAGGTTGGGTGAACTTTTTTCTAGGAATTAGAGGACGCTCCGTATTTTGCATACAACAGTATGTTGTAAAAACTCTCTTCGCCGAACCACGTGTACCGTGTAATATCGGACACGCCATATGTATGCGACGCCGTACACTATGTGAGCGTCTGAGGACAAGGTTCTGCAAAGCTGCAGGAGAGACGGTGATCATAAGACTCGCTTTGTCCACCTCGTGCGTTACTATCGCAACCAGCGAATGGCAGCTGAGGAATGCTCTCTGAGCCTCGTCTACTTTCTCCTCATTGAAATGGGTGAATTAATGGCGAGGAGACATTGGTTGATTGGCAGGCGGGATTGTCTCTGTAGACGGAGAGAAGCCGCACTCGCTGAGTTTTCTGCTCAGTTTCCTCCAGCGGCTGATGGCTGAATAACGCCGATTCTCTTGGTTCCAGGCACATATCAGTGTTAGCGGAAACCATCAAGAAAGGAATACACGACGCTGATTCAGAAGCGAGGATCGTCGCACGAAAGTAAGTGCCGCTTCTTCTTTCTGACCAGATGCTTCCACTGCTGTGATTGAGGGGATACGAGAAGCTGTAGGAACATGCACTTATTTTCGGGGGCCGTTCATTTTTAGTCTTCCATTTTGAACTTTTCAGCCATCAATTGTGGAATATTCAATACAAATTGTAAATAGTATTGGGGTGATTTAGAAACAAAAACTAACTTTCCCTATTTGCTAAACCTAAAATGCTGTATTTAATAATAGACAACACTTAATAATGTCTGCAAATTTAGTTGTGTATGTATATTAGAAGGAATGCACCGATACCGTTTTTTCAGGATCGATTATGAGTGCCGATATTTATATTTCAGTACTCACCGATACCAAGTACCGATATCGGTATTTCTGGCAGCATGGACCCGACTTCCCGGGCCATCAGGAAGCCGGACAGCGTGTCATTACCCACCGCCCGTCGTCTTGATTGCCTGTGGAGCCGGCTCCATGCTGATTGGATGGATAGCCTGCATTCCAGCTAATCAGGAAGCCAGCCCCATGCTGTTTGGCCGGCTCGATGCTGTTTGGGCTGGAAGCCGGCATCCCAGCCAATCGGCATGGAGCTGGCCGATCAGGAAGTCGGACCGCGAGTCATTACCCGCAGCCCGGCTTCAGTGATTGGGCGGGAAGCCGCCTTCATGTTCCCTCGCGGCACTGCCGGTCAGAGGAAATCTCCCTCTGACCGGAAGTTCCGGTATCGGATAAGTATCGGAGCATTTGGGCGAGGACGAGTACTATACACATAGGGGGAATTTATCAAAACTGGGGCAGACAGAATCTGGAGCGGTTGCCCTTTAGTAACCAATCAGCTTCTCTCCATTTTGTTCAGTTAATCTTTGAAAATTAAAGAAGCTGATTGGTTGACACGCACAGCTGCTCCAGTTTTGATACATCCTCTCTATAAAGTCCAATCATGTTTGATGGATTGTAACTCAATTCGTATCGTGGCCGACTACTGCTTTTACCAGGAATAGTTTACCACGTGCTCCTTGGATATTTGTTGTCACTGGTTTTATGAAGGAGATCATATTTGTGAATACACAGAATCGGGTTTACTTTCCAGCAGTGCGTTTTTTTTTGTAAATATATATATGAGATCTTCAGGTATCTGAAAATTGTTAGTCCTAAAGAAATCGGCAGTGAGGATGTTGCTGACAGATGACAATTGCAGCATTTCCTTTCTGTCACTTGTAAACATTTGAATCTTTGTAATATAGGACTATGGTGAAGTTCGGGATTGGTGAATGGTGGAGGAAGCCCCTTGTTTAAGTGTCCATATTCTAATATCTCCCCTACTTCCTCTCAGGTGTTACTGGGGATTCCACAGCCATTTCAGCAGGGAGGCGGAGCACTTGTACCATAACCTGGAGTCGTCCTATCAGAAGGCCCTGCAGTCGCATTTTAAGGGCTCGGACAGCATCGTCTCTCTCCCCCAATCTGACCGCTCTTCATCCAGCTCACAGGAGAGCTTAAAGTGAGTGAAGTTCCTCCAACTTACGTTGTGTGCTCGGGGGCCGGCAAAGACATGCTCGGCAGGCACACGATGTGCTTCGTGCTAGCACCCAATGCCATTGGCAATAATTGATGGTGTACTAGGCTGTAATTGACATAGACTGGCCCACTTACATCCCTGACATCACTAAAAAGAGGACATTGGCTTGCTATGCAGAAGAAGCCCAATTGCACACCTACAGTGCTACCCCTGCTTTCCTAAAGGTGCGGGCTGATCTGAGGTCTAGAGTGCACGCTTTGGTGGTGAACATGTTTTATGTGTGCACCAGTTAACCAACTCTCGCACTCATTGTACTTCTGATGGCTAGTTGAATGCAATAATTGTAAAACTTCCCATTAGGAGTATAACGGAGTGCAAACATTGAAAACAAACACGACACTTAATGTGGAAAAGGTTGCTGTTCCCTACTGATTTATTTTTGGGGTGTGTTCTCTACATGGAATTCAATAAAATTGCACATATTCCAAGGTGAATCTGACTCCTGTAAAGCGAGAACTCTTTTATTGGAGAAGAGAGAAAGAGAATTGGGAAATACGCTGGCTAATCAGTCCAGTCTGGGAGCCAGCAGAGGTTCTGTGGAGTTGGGTTAGAGGCAATAGGCATAAGGTTCTGTGGAGTTGGGTTAGAGGCAATAGGCATAGGGTTCCGTGGAGTTGGGCTAGAAGCAATAGGCATAGGTTTCCGTGGAGTTGGGTTAGAAGCCATAGACATGGGGTTCTGTGGAGTTGGGTTAGAAGCCATAGACATAGGGTTCTATGGAGTTGGGTTAGAGGCAATAGGCATAGGGTTCCGTGGAGTTGGGTTAGAGGCAATAGGCATAGGGTTCCGTGGAGTTGGGCTAGAAGCAATAGGCATAGGTTTCCGTGGAGTTGGGTTAGAGGCAATAGGCATAGGTTTCCGTGGAGTTGGGTTAGAGGCAATAGGCATAGGTTTCCGTGGAGTTGGGTTAGAGGCAATAGGCATAGGGCTCTATGGAGTTGGGTTAGAAGCAATAGGCATAGGGTTCTGTGGAGTTGGGTTAGAAGCAATAGGCATAGGGTTCTGTGGAGTTGGGTTAGAAGCAATAGGCATAGGGTTCTGTGGAGTTGGGTTAGAGGCAATAGGCATAGGGTTCTATGGAGTTGGGTTAGAGGCAATAGGCATAGGGTTCTGTGGAGTTGGGTTAGAAGCAATAGGCATAGGGTTCTGTGGAGTTGGGTTAGAGGCAATAGGCATAGGGTTCTAATGGAGTTGGGTTAGAGGCCATAGGCATAGGGTTCCATGGAGTTGGGTTAGAGGCCATAGGCATAGGGTTCCGTGGAGTTGGGTTAGAAGAAATAGGCATAGGTTTCCGTGGAGTTGGGTTAGAGGCAATAGGCATAGGGTTCTGTGGAGTTGGGTTAGAAGCCATAGACATAGGGTTCCGTGGAGTTGGGTTAGAGGTAATAGTTGAAACCTCCAGGCCTGCTGCTCACCTGAATCGGGGGATATTTCCAGCCCGGATTTACTGTAACATATCCTAGATAATGTTCTGCCGTTGGATTTTATGGTGGCTGGAAACATTTTAGGATTACAGAATGAGATGGGAGCTGCGTCATGTGAAGGTGCAGGAAGACCGCCTAGCAGGGATCAGATTTCGGGTCTATTTACACCCCTGCATTTTGCATTCATTGCAATGATTTTTTTAATGTGTGTAACATCGGTTTCTACTTGCCTACTTCAACCTCCATAAGCATGAATCAAGCGGGTCGTTTTTAAACATAGTGCTTAGATGGCAGTAACTGTGCCCTAATGAAACTCTTTCCGTCCCCTAACAAAATCCAAATGGCAGTTCCCTGCAATGGACGAGGTGTACATACCTCTCTAGCAGCCATGTCTCCTGCCTTCCCCCTGCTCCAGCACTTGCATCCTCCAGTCCTATCAGAACTAATGTGTCTTGTGTCTTTTTTTGCACACATTGATCTACGTGCGATTAGATTGACCCGCCACATTGTGATATGAGTATTGGCGCTCCACAGAAGTGTCATATTAAATCATTTCACTGATATTTCAACTTCCATTCATGTTTTATCTCTCTTTATAGCCGACCTTTAACAGCCAAGAGGAGCCCGCCTGGCAGTGCTGCATCCAGAGGTCAGTATGCATTTTCCCGTGCATTGTCTTATAGTATGTGCATTGTGTTTGTGCGGCAACGCTGGTATACAGCTTCCCTTATTGCACATTCCTTCTTTTTTTTTTTTTGGTAGTTTCTGCAGCGCCGGTGAAGACTGCGGCCACCCCGGGCTCCTTGCAACGCTCTCGCAGTGACATTGATGTGAATGCGGCAGCCACTTCCAAGTCCAAAGCAGCATCTTCCACCGCTACTGCACCTTTCATCGCTGCTGCTGCCTTACCCCCAGGGTCTTACGCATCACTAGGTGAGTAGAGGCCTCATATACAGAGCGGTCTTGTGCACCCTCCATGCGGCTCTGTGCTTCATACAATGCATGCCAGCTGAGAAGACATGCTGACAAGGCATCTGGAAGTACCCTTTCCTGTACTCCCCTCTGCTTCCTCCAAGTAGCAGCTCTGGAAGCTGGCACATATAGCGGGCTTTGCAGGGACGGGCTGCACATTACGCTCTTGGTGGCTAGCTTTCAGCTGATTGGGGGTTAATGATCGTGTACTAACATCAGGAAATGACTGAATATTTTTCACATCTCACTAATTCTCCCCACTGTTTCCTCTCCTTTTATTTTTGTTTTTGATTAATTTGCCTAAAGATGGTCCCTCTGCTAAGTCTGATGGTAAGCGGTTTGTGTGACAGAGCTGTGTCCGGTGGGGGTGTCTGTCTGGTCTCCATCCGTGCTTCTCTGGTGGTGGTGGTGTGCATGCCGTGCAGTGCTTGCGTCCTCCCATTGTGCGTCTGTGTGCTGTACATTCACACCGTGGAGCTCGCACTGCTCTCCCGCCTGTTGCGGCTTCCATCCAGCTCACAGGAGACCCTCCACATCATGATATGCGGAATGTTTCTCTCCAGCTGAGCACTGCTTCATACCGCTCCATCCTGCTGTGAATCCTCTGCGTAGCGAGTCTCATCATTCAGATCATGCTGCCAGTGCCGCAGTGTTCTAATGAATGTACCTTCTGCTCCCTCTGGCCAGTTTGGTGCTCTATAAACTGTGGCTCATATGTCAATGTGGCCAGTCAAAATGTAAAAAGTGAGTCAGAGAGGCCCGTTGTAAGAGAAGCGTGTAGGCCAACCTTCTGAAATACGATCTGTCATTGACCTGGAACAAGCATGTAGCTAGTGAAGTCAGATTAGTAGGTTTGTGACTGAGTGCTGCAGCCAAGGCACCAGCATGACAACAAGGCACCTCATATATTTTAGTTAGGTCAGCAATGTCGGGCGTATTTATCATGGCACATTAAGGCTGGGTTCACACCTAGGCGTATAGAATATGCGCGCTTGTCGCGGTAAAAAGGGCTACATGGCTGTATCCCAATGGAAACGCGCGACAAAAACGCCCCAAAGAAGCTCCTGTACTTGTTTGGGCGTAGGGCGCTTTGTAGCGCGTTCATACGGCCTATAATACGCCCAGGTGTGAACCATACCCATAGGAAATAAATGGGATTTCGGTGTTTGACCGTTTTGCAGAGCGTAGGAAATGCCCAGGTGTGAACCGGGCCTAAATGACTTGGAGACAGCGATCACAAACTTAAGTTATGTCTTCTCCAATTTGCATGTAAGTGAAAAGTCTGTTAGCCGCCCCAAGTGGATAATCTGGGAACAATGGGGGTAGGGTAGCATTGAAACCCTAACCCCCCCACCAAATCATTGTCCCTGTACACCCCACCCCCCCCCCCCCCCCGTTTCTGGCTGTGACAACCATGTCTCTTGAACAGAGCTGGATTCTCTGTTTCTCATCCCAAAATTAAGAATTGTGCTTCCCGCCCAGAAGTTGACTCTGTAAGGTTGTGACGAGGGATACTATCAGCGAGGTGAGTATCTGGTTTATGGTGTTACCATTTAAACTCTATGTGCCTTAAAGGAGAACTGAGATGAGGGATTTCCACTCACCTCATAGTTCTAGCCGACCTGTGACAATGAGACTGTCACAGGTCGGCTCAGTAGATCGGGAAGTGAGAGAACACATACCGGCGTTCGCTCACCTCTCGATCCTGTCACGACTATCTGCCGTGACAGGGGGAGGGGCTGGATTCCCCTCTCCCCGCTCCGATCTGCCAGCGCTGACTGGCAGATCGGACGGGGGAGGGGGTGGGTACAGCTGGCTCTGCCTCTAGATGTCACTCACGCAGCTGGGCGGATCCCGACGTCTAAGTCGGGATCCGCTCCGGCTGCGGCGTCTCAGTACACCGCGAGCTGTAGCTATATAGTGAGCTTAGGGTGACGGGAGGACGCCAGTTTGTGTCCTCCCGTTACCCTAAGGAGAACTATGGGGAAAAACACTGACCCCATAGTTCTCCTTTAAGGAGTAAGGGTAGAAATGTGTTAGGGTTGAATGTGTTAGAAAGCTCAACTTTGCCCCGGTCACCTGGCGCAGGTATTGGTGAAGCGGCACTGCTGCTTCTGAGGCGCCACAGGAACAAACTACAATTTCCATCATTCAGTGGGAATAGCAGCTGTGAATGTGGGCGGGTTGGCGACTGATCCTTTGATATAATGGTGGGCGGGACAGACAATGTCGTGGCCTGTCAATCAAATGATGCAGTGACAGCGATCAGCGTCAGGCAGTCCTCACTCCTGGTCTGGGCAGCGCGCATGTAACGATGGGTGACGCCCCTCAGTCCAGGAATACTGTGAGCCCAGACTTGTGCAGTAACATACCTCAAGGAGGGCGTGTCCATGACTACCTGGGCTCACAGGAAGTGAGTTGAATGATGTTGCTCATCATTCAACCCAGAAGAGACCAGAAACGGTGTTTATACCGCAGGTGAAATTTCATCAATTTGTAGCAAAGAAGAACTTACGTTTGTGTATAATTCAACTGCAGCTGCTGCAACAACAAGCCGCATGCTGTGGACGGCCTTGCATCGTATATAATATATCGGCTGCCGTGTGTGTAGCAGAGTTGTGTCAGTTGTTGTCCTGTGTTTGTTGCATACAGAGTTTGTGTAATATATATGTACAATATACACAGAGGAAAACGCATTACCATTCGTTACTGCTTCACACTAACGCATGCAGACTTAGGACATGTGGAGGGCAGCTGTGCAAAGTGCGCGGTCCCAGCAGCCAATAAAATTTTAGCTTACGGACTTCCTCTCATCTTCACCCTTAAAGGAGAATTATGGGGTCAGGGCTTTTCCCCATATACTGAGACCGCTGCCGCCGAAACGGATTCCCGACAATTCTGCCTGGATCCGCCCAGCTGCGTGACTGACAGCTGGCTCTGCCTATCTAGAGGCGGAGCCAGCTGTACCCTCCCCTGTCCGTTCCGCCAGTCAGCGCTGGAGGATCGGAGCGGGGCAATCCCTGCAGGGAGCCGTGAGTGACAGTCACGTCTCTCTGCAGGGATAGATCGAGAAGTGAGCGAGCGCCGGTATGTGTTCGCTCACTTCCCGATCTACTGAGCCGACCTGTGACGGTTTCAATGTCACAGGTCGGCTCAGATTATGAGGCTGAGTGAAAATCACCTCATAGTTCTCCTTTAACCGCTTAGTGAGTCCCTGACACATAGAGGGTACGCGGCCAATAAAGTCAGAAGTTTTCCACTGCGTGCTTGTTCCAGGTCTTGTGAAGCAATAATGACGACGGTCCAAGAAAAAGCAAGTTGGAAAAGCTTTCTTTGTATAGCACGCTGCCCGCAGCTTTGGAGGATCTTATAAGACCCCCTCCCCAACCTTATGTTTTCTGAAAGGACGGGGCCCCTAGAATGAACTGATTGTGTACTTCTCATGATAGTTGCACAAATGTTGGCTGCCAGATCACATCCGCAAAGCTGGGATCTTAGAGAAGCATCAGACGCTGACTTTACAAACCAGCTGATCGGTGATGTGTTGGATACCGATCAGATCCATTCACGAAAAGGCAAGGTGCCAGACATTACTTGGATATAAGTTCATGGTGACTGAAGTGATCATGAGCGTCCAGTCTTAGAAAACTTTGCCGCTTTAAGGATAATGAGCTGTCCTGCTGTCAGAGCAGCTTTAAACCCTAAGGAGAACTATGGGGAAAAGCCTTAACCCCATAGTTCTCCTTTAAGTTGAGTGTGGAGTGTGCTATACCAAGGTTCTGAGTCACATTGAAGAGTACTGACCCAGTGATCTGTCGTTCCTTGGTCACAGAGGCTTCATATACTCCGACATTTTCTGTGTTTTCACTAGTCTGTCCTCCAGCTACACAAAATCCTTCCCGTTCCATGATCAGATTGCAACACCGAGATCTCCGCTAACTACCTTTCTTCTCTGTCCTGTAACAGGTCGGATCCGCACAAGGAGACAGAGTTCCGGAAGTAACAGCAGCGCCACGTCAGTCCAAATAGACACCCGCGGTCGTAGCAGAGCCAAAATTGTATCCCAGTCCCAGCGTAAGTGCACAAAACCTGAATGCGTCGCAGCCGTGTCAGTGTTGGGGGAGCTTTTGTTAAAGAAATGATGGGTAATGCGGTTTGGATGGTGATCCATGTCTAGTCTGTGCTTTTGAAGTGTCTGAACAGCTTGCTTGTGTCTAGCCTGATGGTAGATGTGACCTAGTGCTCCCTCTCTAAATCTGTCTTCACTGTCCTCTGTCTGCTTCCATATGAAGGATCCAGATCAGCGAATCCAGCCAGCGGTAAGAATCTGATCTTTTTCCTCGCACATCCCCAATTCCCTGTCTAGCGTTATCACTACAAAGCATACAGTGCACCTCCACGTAGTTGGTGACGGCAGCGGCCTCCTGGCACGACTCTGTAGCATGCTCATTATCTCTACCAGGCCAAGTTCTCATAAACTGGGACAATGAGGCTGGTACGGCTCCCAGTGGCTGAAGGCCAGGCAAGAAGCGCTCAGTCCTTGCTCTCTTATAGGACAGCGTGTTCTAGTGGAGCTATTCACTCTCACGCTCAATTAGTTGCCATCTAGTGGGAGGGTCACATTCATGGAGGTGTTCGGGTGTTGGTGCATTGCATGCTGATTGTCCTTTTCCATCCATTATGCACATTGCCCATACATGTGGAATCAGAATCTCAGATCATCTTCTTTTATTAATGCCTCTTCTCTATATGTTGTGTTTGTAGCCGGCAGCAGATCCAACTCTCCTGGGAAGTTGCTGGGAAGTGGGTACAGCAGTCTGGCGACCAGCGCCCAGAGGGTCCCGCAGGTACCGTCCACGGAAAAGAGAAGCAAGATTCCTCGTAGTCAGGGCTGCAGCCGAGAGACCAGCCCCAGCAGGCTAGGACTGGGTAAGAATAATGAATCCTGGGTAATTTTTCTTTCCATGTAGCCAATACCCTCTCTAGTATCCATATGTAAAAACTGACTGTGACCCTATGATACTCACTCCAACATCTGTCTGCGTGGTCTGTGGTGGATACATGCCCGATGGCAGCCAATGTGAAAAGAAGAGCTCCGCTAAGCACTGGTCACATCTGAAACAGCCACTTACAGCGCCAATTCTACATATGTGGTGCTCACGTGTCTGTTTTGGTGCTTCAGCCTTCTGCCGTGTTTGGCTACTTCTCAGAATGCCAGAGATAGAGGGGGATGGGCTGAGACCCAACATTTTGCTGGCTGCCAGGTCCTGGACTTCATTCCCTACTGCTCCACCACAAGGAGAGAACACAAGCAATAGAAACTGCTTCAGATGTACAAGTGTATACATCTAGAGAAGCTTCACAAAAGCCTGTGGAGATGCCTGAGTGCGTGGCTGTTCCAGAATGCGACGCTCCAACAATTTCAGGTTGTACAGGAGCTTGCGGCTCAGCCCCCCTGGCCCATCACTATTGTGAGTTGCCTCACTGTCTGTGGAACAGGTGTCCCCCACTGGGAGATTTCCCCTCCATTCCTGTTCTGGTCAGTGACCTGCAGGAAAAAGAGAGTGAATCTCAATGGGGGGCATAAACAGAAGTAAAAACCTGACGGAGGCTCTAACACTTCTATTGCTCCAATAATATGATTTTGTGTAAGCGGAGTTCTTCTTTAACCTTCTGATACATTTGTATGTAAAGTTGTATATCCCAAAAAGATGCATTTCAAATGGAAGATATAAAGTGTAGACCGGTGGGAGAACGGTGGAGTGTGGAAGCAGCAATGGCTGTGCGAGCTCCGGTTCTCATACATAATAGTTTCCAGGAATAGGTCTATTAGCAATCATTTCAGACTCTTCTCTACACATTATGGATGGTCAGCAGTGCTGAAGTCCCTCCATCCCTCCATCCTTCCATCCTCTATAGAGGGCTGCCATAGTGGAATCCACCTGTCTTTGTATGAACTCCTGGCAGGCTTAGTCCCTGCATCATGGCTGGACACAGGATTGTTGTCTACCGTGTGTGTGTGTGTGTGTCGCTTGTTGATGTATTCTGCATCCGATCCCGTTCACCAGCTAACATTACCCTTCTGTATATAACATCATAGCAGTTCTTCTTCCCGGCTTTGCATTGTCTGCGTTGTGCCGTGGTCCTCGTCCCGTCATTGTGGTGTAAACGATGTCGCCTTGTCTCCTTCTGTATTGCAATGTGTAGATTCTCCGTAATAACCGCCTTTAACCTCTTCTATAGCGATAGCTTTATCTTCTCTCTGTCTGTATATGATGTAATTAATGTGCTGCCTTTTCACATCGCATGCTAGCCCGGAGCAGCCGCATTCCCCGACCCAGCATGAGTCAGGGGTGCAGCCGCGACAATTAAATAGGTTCATGAGCGATGAGTCTGTTTCTATCACTTTGTAAAGGTCGTGCTTTCTCTTATTGGGAATTAAACAATTTATTTTCTGAAAGACCCGAATTCTGATATAATAAACTCCAGAATTCTCATACTCCCCTCATGCTTTGTGTCACTGCTCCATTTTGGGAGATTTTTGTAGTTTAATGTTCGATATGTATACTGTAGTTTGAGCTATGAGGACCATAGGAAGGTCTGAGATTGGTAGTTGTGGATTTCAGGGACGAGAGGTCGTGACCCTGATTTGACAATGGCTCATCCTTCGTGATATGGCCAATAGTGAAGGAGAGAGGAAGCAGTTATAGATGGAGACATTCCTGTCAGATAGGAGAGTAGCTCGATCAGTACGATCCGCCACTGTGCTCAGTGTCTGCTCGCAGAGGATGAATTAGCGGCGCATTAGTAAATTAGGGTAATACATTGCCAGTCCCAAAAAAACTCACCACCCGGATTTAGCTCAGCAATAAGGTCCGAGCCTTCCATTGGATAATAGGTCTAGGTTCAGCAACATTATGTCCCCAAACAATGAGGTCAGCTGCCGACCTGAATATACTGAGCGGCCAGGTTTTTCCATCAATGGATTATTTCTTCCCTGATGGCACATTGGACAATACCAGGATTCATCGGGCTCAGGTTGTGAAGGAGTGGTTCAGGGGGCATGAGACATCATCGTCACACATGGATTGGCCACCACAGAGTCCAGACCTGAACCCCATTGGGAATCTTTGGATTGTGTTGGAGAAGACTTTACACAGCGACTCTCCCATCATCACTACAAGGTCATGGGGAAACATGAATGCAACTCTGGACAGAAATAATTGTTGTGACATTGTATAAGATTATCACGGGGAATGAGTGCCGTAATCAGAGATAAAGTCGGTCCAATGACATTAGATTGTGTGACTTTGGACAGGAAATGTATATAAAATGTCCGGACACCTATATGAGCTTATTCGACTTCCCATGTCAAAACCGTGGCCATTAATATAGAGTTGCCTCCCCCCCACACATTCTTTTGGTTATATAAAGCATAGGGCCAGATTAAAAGAAGCCTAATATTGAACAGGTGAGTTTGGAGGCCCGGTGATTGACAAAAATGAGAAGGATAACCGTTCCAAACTCTTTCCTGTGTTTATAGGTCACCTAACGGTTACACTGAATCGGTTTCCTGTTGCACAAAATGAAGACGTCTCAGGCCATGCCGAGTCAGAGTTCTTCTCACTAAACAGCACAGTAGGAAGTGTAGGCGTGATCTGCCAACCCTCAGAGCCACAAAATCTTTCAGGGACTGTAGAGTGCTTCTTTAACATATAGGCTGAACTTGGTTAGGAGGGGACGAAGGAAGTTGTAGGGTGGTGAATGGCGCTGGCTTATCAGAAGGGAATAGGTATGATAGGGGCAGGTTTGCCTGTATGATCTCGAAGTTACCCCACCATTGGCCCGGATAAAATGTCTGAGTCGAGTCTCGTCGGTGAAGGAAGGACTATGGAGCTGAGTGCAGTACCAGTTTTTACCAGCAGAGGTCAGGCCAGTCATTGCTGTGCAGTCTGTACTTGCCCGCCCGTGCCTATAGCCTATCACTACCCTCTGCTGATGATGTGTAGAAAGCTGACTGGATTTATGACCGATGATGATTTCTGACAATACAGGAGGGAGTCTGTTATTTGGTTCTTTTTGTGTTTTTTATTTAATAGATGATAAAAGATAAATGGAGCCACAAGTATCTGTGTGATGATTGCTGTGATCATTTCCAGAGTTTATTTGGCTCAGGTGACAATGTTCTCATGATATTGAAATTTTGGGTCGATCCGCCATAAACCTCACACTCTGATTTTATGTCCCATTTCCACCTCCATGGGCCCCAGCGGTCCCCTCGGTAATCTCAGGTTCATGTATGTACGCTTGTTTTGTCTCCATGTTTTCTGCGTGTTAACCCTGTGGGTCTTCTGCCATTCCTTCTTCTTGCAGCCTCTCGACGTCATTCCAGGTCCACTAGTGCGCTCTCCACTTCCGAGTCTGTGGGGCAGTCAGGTGAAGCTGCACTAACTGCATGACCACGTCATCCTCCATGTGCTTGTACTGCCTCCATCTAGTCCATTCCCCCACCGCCGGCATGACGCATTACCATCCCATGACATCATCTTTATATCATTAAGTGTCATTTTGTCAGCAAAGTTTTAGTTTTCTTTTATTTCCGCTTGTATTTTTATTTTATTTTTTTAGCTTTTAAGGCCTTCTCCACCCCGACTGCTATTCATTTGTATTGTGAGCTCTGGTGGCTTGCTCTCGCCGGCTTCTCTTGTCTCTCGGAGACCCTAATTTCGGGTCTCTTCCCACAAGATCATAGTGGAGGTGTCACTCTCGCAGCCGCACTCTCCAATCATTGGGAACTCCTGAAAATGGGAATTCTTGTGGGAAGATCTGCGGTCTCTGAAGATGAAATAAGCCGCCATTCCGCTTGCCAGAAACTGTGCAAAACGGATATAAGTTTCAGTTGGAGTTGAGTTTTAAGCAGATGATAAACAAATATTCAACATAACCGTCCAGTAAATATTATTCTATCGTACACTATTTCTTCTTTTTTACATTAAGGTGAGTGGAAAGCTATATGAGTTTATTCGACATCCCATTTCAAAACAATGGCCATTAATATGGAGTTGCCTCCCCCACCACCACTTTGTTGTCTGATACAGGAGATGGGTTTGGTCTAGGGCTGCAACAACTAATCGACATAATCGATTATAATCGATTATTGAAAAAGTTGTCAACTTTTTCAATAATCGATTAATCGTCTTTCGATCAGTTGGCCCTGTTCACGGCTCCACACACGCTGCGCGCCGCACCTCTTCCCCCCACCTCACGCTCACCGCTGCCAGACCCGCCCACATCCACGCTCTTCACGCCGCACCTCCTCCCCGCCTCACACTCACCGCCCGCCCACATCCACGATCGGCACAGGGACGAGGGGAGATGTAGTAAGGAGGAGCAGGTGTGGGGGGATGACAGCCACCGATAGACAGGTCCGATCTCAGAAGCAAGTTGCTGGAAGACTGCTCAGGTAAGCCTGCACTTCCCACACATGGTGCTCTAATGTATTGCTGGGATTTGTATTCCTCTATAGCTGATGGTACATTGTGCTGTATATTATACATAGGAATACACATCCAGCAATACATTATACACTGTATGTATAATGTATTGCTGGGATTTGTTGTATTCCTATATAGCTGGTGATATTCTGCACTGCACTGTATAGAGGACTACAAATCCCAGCAATAATACAATATACAGCGCAATGCAGAATACCACCAGCTATAATGTACTATTGCTGGGATTTGTTGTATTCCTATATAGCTGGTGATATTCTGCATTGCTCTGTATAATGTACTATTGCTGGGCTTTGTAGTCCTCTATAGTCGGTGCCATTCTGCATTCATTGCTGTATAATTTTACACTTTCCTTTTTACTATATTGCACACCACACTATTTTTTTCCACCGCTCCTAGCTTGCTCCTGTGATGGACTACAATCTCAATACAAACTAGTAGTCCATCACTGGAGCCATTTTTAATTTTTTTTTTTTATTGTTTATCCGATTAACCGATTAATCGAACTTAATAATCGGCTAACTAATCGATTTTGAAAATAATCATTAGCTGCAGCTCTAGTTTGGTCCAGGGTAGCAATACACACAGGATTTATTTTTAGGCATTTATGTTCGGTTAATAATTCTGATCAGTTTCAGTTGTGGTGTCTCAGATCTGCAATGTTAAAGTGACATTAAACCCTCAGAGATTTTTTACCATAAACCAATACTGTAATGTGCGCCTTACTGTAATCCATGGTAGTTTCCCTTCTCTTTGATGCTCTTCCTTTTAAAACTGTATCTCTTCTCATGCTTGGGGGAGAACTTCCCTTTTCAGCTCGGGGCCTCTTCCTGTAGTGCTGGCTCAGGTTACAAGCCATACACAGACACCGTGTGAGACAAGGCAGTCTGCTGAAAAGGGAAGTTCTCTCCAAGCATGAGAACAGATACAGATTTAAAAGGAAGAGCATCAAAGAGAAGGGAAACTACCATGGATTACAGTAATGCGCACATTACAGTATTGTTTTATGTTACAAAATCTGAGGGTTTAATGTCACTTTAAGTATTGGGACACATGGTCATATAATAACACTGCATTTACATCTGTACTGCATATAATTCTATGGGGATCAGAAAGCAGTGGTATTGTATGCTGTGGGCTCGTTCACACAGCTGCACGTTGGTTCCTGTTACCCCGCAGCATTTAGAAGAACACATGATAGAAGCACCGCTCCTCCACGGCTCGGGAAAGGAATGGTCCGGGTGCTTGCCGCTGGGAGCACGTCCTCGCTCCATTATGAGCCCTTACAACCAGAAGAAAAGCTGGCCACACACCGGATTCTGCTGGGATAGTTTTTTGAAGCTTGTACCACATCAGTGGTGTCCTGCCCAATGTTCACCGCGTTTGGTGATTGGGCCCGTGATTGGGTGCAAGCTACAATAAGCTATCCCAATGGAGTGCACCGTGCAGCCAGCTTTTCTTCTGCTTGAATGGACCCCGCAGCACTTAGTCGTACTAACCAAAACCAGGCGCAGCATGACTGAAGGCCGAGGTTGTCCTGAGCCGCCACCACCTAATGAATAGCTCGTTCAGGGTAAGATGTAAGCATTACCAATGCGTAGACGACAGCGGCGGTGCAGAATGACCATAACCCCAAGTCATCGTGAATGTACATACCGCGTTTCCCCAAAAATAAGACAGTGTCTTATATTTATTTATTTTTTCACAAAAAAAGACACTAGGTCTTATTTTCGGGGGATATCTTACCTGGCTGCAGCTGTGCTCTGCCGTCCAGGGAGCCACAGACAGGTGGGCGGGCATGCGTGCGGGGGGGCGTGTCTGGCAGGGGGGCGGGAGGGAGCTGCCTCTAAATTGGTGCTGACGCTGTCCTTCCTTCAGGAGGGGGAGCTACGTCTGTTCCCCATGATCCCTATGTGTGTTGTAGAGTAGTCACCGCACCAAGCTCGCTCCCGGGATGGACTACAATCTCAATACAAATGAGTAACCTAAACAAAAGATTTACCTCCTGAGTTCAGTGTCACTTTAATGTTTGGTGTAGTTTCTGGCCTGAGTTGTGTATCCATTCGGTGATTTATGTTTATTTTGTATTTCTGTTTTACAGATCTTGGTCTCATTGCTGTTTTCAGCTTTAAACACGGTTCTAGCTTTTATATGACCTTATATAAAGCTACAGCCAACATTCCCATTAGTATCTGTCCTCCACACACTCCCACACTGATCTGATTGGTGCTTTCAGGGGAAATCCTCTTGATGTGTTTGAAATTCTTTGTAAATAACTTTGTGCAAGATCCACTTTCTGTGTGAGCCCCCCTCCCCCCTTCCTAAAAGACTGCATTAAATAAAAAATATATACACCTAGAGAAAGCTAGTTACAAATTCAGCTTCTGTGGTGCAGCGGGCGACGTCATCCTCCAGTCGTCGAGATCCAGGGGGAAAGGCGAGATTTCTACAGTAAATCTCATGAAAAGACACCGCAGTACAGTGCCGGTAATGTCTGAGATTCGGATCACTCTGCATTCCCCAGATCTCATTGGAAGGTAGGTGACGTTAACCTCACCTAAGTGCTGCTGGTGAAAAATAGGGAAACATTCCCCCCCCCCCCCAATACATACATTTTGGATGCAAGGTCTGCTTTATGGAGTCCTGTACAAGGAGATGTGAGCAGGGCCGCCATCAGGGGGGTACGGCGAGTACTGTTGTAAGGGGTTAGGAGGGGGGGCACGCCCAAAATTTCTGATGGCTGCCCTGCATGTGAGCAATGTGACTATCTTCATTGTACATCAATCTATAAAGAGCAGCCATCTTCACCCTTCATTACATTTTGTCTATGAAACCCCTAACGAATGCCGCCCAATAAAGTGCATGCCCGCAATGACGTCACAGAATGCCCATCTGGCGGCCAAGGAATCTAAGGAGCGTAATTGTCATCTGTAATAATTTGTGATTCATATTTCCTGTTTTCTCGTCTATGTATTATTCTGAAGATGCAATGTAACCTTCGGGGGAAACAACATCTCAGTTATCTGTTCACGTCAAAGTCAATAGTCCTTATTGTGTTTAGCTGGTATTGGTGGTGATGGATAATAGGTTATCATTTGGGTAATATTATCTCTTCACACTACTTTGTTTTATTTATTAGATAGTTTTGTATTCTGGTGACCCGCTGGGTTATCTTGGGTTTAATGTTGACATAACTTTTGCCATGTTTCTTTGCAGCTGTGTTACTGCCCCCTAGTGATCAGTTACAGTTCACACAACCAACCAAAGTGACTTGGTCACATGTTAATAATGAGCAGTGGCCGTGTGATTATCCGGGGGCCAGTAATTCACATCTGCTTTCCTGCTTTTGTTTTTATTTTTGCTGATAACTCATCACATCTCGGCTTTCTTTTCTGCCATTCCTCCACCATGTTACTGTCATACAGGTGAAATAATTCTATTAGAGTCTAGCGGAGGCCTCGTCTTCTGAGTAGACAAGTGCAACTCTGGTCCCTCGAGGGTTCCTGGCTCTGGATCTTTAGCTGCTGCTACGTTATTATTTCCGGCATGCGATATTTTGTGTAGCAGCTGAATATCCGCAGAGTCCGCCTGCTATTCGTGTGTAGACACCCACCTCCTATCCGTGGATTTCCTGGGGAATGTCCTGGAGACATCTGATGGGCAGAATGCCAGTGCCTCTCCTTTACATCGTGATGACACTGTGATCCTGTGCGTTTGCTGAGTCCAGTGTGTCTCGGTGTTTTTGTTCTATAAGGTGGTGATGGGCATGCCTCCTCTTCAGATGTCCCCAGTAGTTCCTTTTCCAGAAACTCCACCCCGCAAGCTTCCATTAATAACCTTGTATCCTGCTTTATTTTTCTTTTGTTAGATCGCTATGGAATGGGCCTGGCGGGAAGACAACCGTCCTCCATGAGCGCAATGAGGGTCCTCAGCTCTAGTACAGACCTTGAAGCTGCCGTGGCAGACGCTCTGGTGAGACTTCAGCTGTGTACTTTGCTGGCATGGATGTTTTCCATTGTCCAATGACTGCATAGAGAGAATGTGTCTATTGTGCATTGTGACTTTTCCACCTGCGGGCAGAATTCATAGAACAGGCAGATGTCACACGTTCAATATACGTATTATTATAGTTCTGTGAGCTCACATCTGATCCAAGAGCCCATATCTTGGTTTATACCAGCCCTCAAAGAAAGATAAAGGAGCACGAAACCAAAACTGATATGTAACCGTCCCTCCAGTCCTGTCTATAATGAGGACAGCTGTGACAATTGCAGTCCTTTGTTCTATTTTGAAGTGGAATTCACAACAGAAGCTGCTAGTTTCCTCCTTTGCAATTAGTGAACAGGAAGTCAGGAGCATGTTAAAAACGTCTCTACCCCTTCCCCATCTTGTCTCATTGTCCCCTAGAACTATTACATTGTCCCATAATGTTATATAAACTATTATAGCAAGTGGACACTGTGACGGACCGCCTGGTACCTACTTCAGAAAACAGCTTCCTCTCCGCTGGAACCTGAATTCCAGTGTCCTCAGCCCAAACCTGCCTAATTATTGGACAGAACCAATGTATTAGGACAGAAAGCTAAACTCCTCAATCATCAGACAACACCAATGTTGAAGTGGAAACCAAGATCTGCTTTATTGAAGAAAGCGCACAGAGTTTATACCTCACAGGATCAGATTAGAGTTCAATGTGTTGAATAGTTTCCACCCTTAGACAGCCGGGTGCCGCATTGGAATTCCTTAAGCACAGACACTCTTTGAATCTAATGAATGTCCTTAATTAGCTAAGAGCTTGATCACCATAAACAATGGCCCCTCCAGACAGCCTGCTGCCTATAATGAGCACAGGGTCACTTAAATGTCATGTCAGGGGAAACGGGCAGTATTTTCACTCCACTCGTAAACCTAGGAGAATGGGTCCATGTAACCCCAAGAGGTCTGAGGGGGGGGGTCTCCATAGTTCTAGGTCCATAGTCAGTAGGAAGGAGGCTCCTCCAGCAGCCCCAGTGACAGTTCAGTCTGTCACAGACACTTTATCAAATACACCTGTAAAGTGCTGAGTAGGACCCGCTTTTTGCATTTAGAATATCCTGAGTTCCTCTGGTGTGGGGCTCAGCGAGGTGCCGGAAATGTTAGGGATTTCAGCTCACGTTGACTCAGCAGCACCGCACAGTTAAGCGGATTTGTTGGCCACGTGTTCATACTGCAAATCTCCCATTTGTCCCCATACCGTGTGCAGCAAATTCTGCTCCTACGTACCTACCTGTTGCAGCAGAAATGAAGATTCATCTGACCAGGCAATGTCATCCGCCAATTGTGGTGGGAATTTGCACTCGCTGATTCCAGTTTTGTGGCCCATGGCATGCAGACTTTAGTATCTGCATCCACATTAATTATCCCGTGGTCAAAGTGCTCAGATCACACACCCACACACACCCACACACACCCACACACACCCACACACACCCACACACACCCACACACACCCACACACACCCACACACCATTCCTACCGCCCAAGTAATATGACTGGGCCATGGCTGCATGCGTTAGGTGCCAAGTCACAACCACTTACTTTGCTGCTTTGCCATTTCAGTTAACAATCTGGAGTACCTAATAAGGGGGCACTGGTCCTACTACTGGTTGTAAAGTGGATCAGTTACTGATATTTTTTATTATTTCGTGCAAAACATGAGGTGGCATCTGTACGCTGTGTCTGTGAATTCTGCCTCTTCCTTCCAGTGTCCGTAGCTTTAGATCTGTAGCGCCGTGCCTTCCTAATTACCGATAGCCGCTGGATGTCCATCTGACTTGCGTAGTGCCGCTCCCATGTCCACTGTGTGTTGTCTGTGTTTGCTCCTCGTCCCAGGAATTGTATGGCAGAGCCCGGTCACGTATTGTTTTGTGTTCCCCATGACCTGATCTCTCTCTCTCTCTCTCTCTCCATCTGGAAACCTCTTCTAATAACATTCTTAATTTCTTGTTTAGCTGCTGGGAGACCCCAGGAATAAGGTACGACCATTTCTGTTATGTTCAATTTTGGCCCGCCCCCGGGAGTGACTTGTCCGTTCTTGTGGTTCTTCCCTCTGTCTGCAGTGCTTGGAATGCATACTGGAAGCTCACAAGTGTTTTGTCCTCCTGCACAATATCTTGTTGGGGTTCAAGATTTTCGGAGGCTGTATTTGCAGACACAAGTTTTTTGAGTGTAGCCCAATGGTGAATGCCGGGTGATGAATATCCACCATTACCTATTGTCTGCTTGAATTTTGAAAGAAAAGTCCTTAGGTCCTCCCAGTCTCATGGTGGCGCTGTGTTCTTCGAAAGGTTCCCCATGCATTTGTTTTGGGAACAAGTAGCATGCATCCTCATTTTGGCAGGGTATGACAGTAACACTAAAGTGTTTAGGATCCGTCTCTGGAAAAATGTGATGACAATGTGTACTGTAATCCTGATATGCACCCACTTAATAGGAAAGAATATATGTGCTTCAGTTGCATCATTGCATGTGCTGTTGTTGCATGATACCTGTGTGAGTACTAGTGGAGGAGGGAACTGTAAATTGGCCTTAAAGTGAACCTGTGGCCAGGCCATGGACATTCCTAACCAGCAATATATGAGCTTTGTTGAGTAATTCACAAACTTCACAGCAAAAGCACTGAAGTCATTCTTTCAGTAGCTGAACTCCTACCAGCAGTGACTCTGCTTCCCCTGCTCTGTCCTACCACCAGTGACTCTGCTTCCCCTGCTCTGTCCTACCACCAGTGACTCTGCTTCCCCTGCTCTGTCCTACCACCAGTGACTCTGCTTCCCCTGCTCTGTCCTACCACCAGTGACTCTGCTTCCCCTGCTCTGCCCTACCAGCAGTGACTCTGCTTCCCCTGCTCTGTCCTACCACCAGTGACTCTGCTTCCCCTGCTCTGCCCTACCAGCAGTGACTCTGCTTCCCCTGCTCTGTCCTACCACCAGTGACTCTGCTTCCCCTGCTCTGTCCTACCAGCAGTGACTCTGCTTCCCCTGCTCTGCCCTACCAGCAGTGACTCTGCTCCCCCTGCTCTGTCCTACCAGCAGTGACTCTGCTCCCCCTGCTCTGCCCTACCAGCAGTGACTCTGCTTCCCCTGCTCTGCCCTACCAGCAGTGACTCTGCTTCCCCTGCTCTGCCCTACCAGCAGTGACTCTGCTTCCCCTGCTCTACCCTACCAGCAGTGACTCTGCTTCCCCTGCTCTGTCCTACCAGCAGTGACTCTGCTTCCCCTGCTTTACCCTACCAGCAGTGACTCTGCTTCCCCTGCTTTACCCCGTCAGTGGGAATGTGGCTCACCATGCTCTTTCCTTTAAGCAGTGATCAGCTCCATTCCAGCCTTCTGATCTATAATGTAAGCACAGAGCAGGAGCTTAGGGCAGGCTAGCAGAGTGAGTCTAGATTTTGATTCACTGCTGGGAGGGGGAGTAGAGCTGCAGAGGGGATGCATTCAGTGTTTCTGCATGAAACTTTGAGGATGAATTACTCCACAATGCCTGCAGCAACACAGATCAGTGAAGCATTGTTATGAAACCCATTTACTTCTCGTTAAGAATATGTAAATATGTGACTGTTAATAGGCTGACTCAGATTTACTGTAAATATGTTTTGGGCACGTATTAAATCAGCAGTGCAAGAAGCTAAATGCTGAGTGGGGTCAATCCCAGCGGCCAATTACAATTCACTTTGCTAAATTTACCCCAGTACGCCATGGATTCTCATGATTTGCAATTGGCACGACAGTTTATATTGTATTGAATACACTTCCTGGCCTGATTTTACCTTGTGCTGACCCGAGTGCTCCTCCTGCGGATGTATTGGAGTGACAGAATGTCAGCTCCGTGTCTGGCCATCTCCGCAGGTTTGCTCGTTCCTGCTCTGCGTTTGTAGAAATAAGTGATGTGAACGCACAGGCGTCGTAGAATCTCTTCCTCTCCCCGCAGCAGATTCAGAGCCGGAACATTTATTTTATCTTGATGTTCGGTTGCAGCTACAGAATGTTTCCTTTTCTTTTGTTGAACATTTGAAAAGAAAATCAAAAGAATTTCTCCCACTCAACCGCACAACCGATCCTTCACTGCAATGAGCAGCCTCGGTAACCAATACATAGCTGAAGGAGGTGGGAGTGATCAATTGTTGCTTCTGCTCCCTAAAGAAGAGATTGGCAAACAAACTCCTCAGGTATTGGGGCTCCTGGAACATTTGAGAGAAGTCGATCTTAAAGTGACATTAATCCCTCAGATTTTTTAACATAAAACAATACTGTAATGTGCGCCTTACTGCAATCCATGGTAGTTTCCCTTCTCTTTGCTGCTCTTCCTTTTAAATCCGTATCTCTTCTCATGCTGGGGGAGAACTTCTGTTTTGCAGCAGCCTGCCTTGTCTCAGGAATGGATATATGGTGTCTGTGTGCAGGTTTGTATAGGCTTGTAACCTGAGCCAGCACTACAGGAAGAGCCCCTGAGCTCCAAAGGGAAGTTCTCCCCCAGCATGAGAAGAGATGAGGATTTAAAAGGAAGATCAGCAAAGAGAAGGGAAACTACCATGGATTACAGTAAGGCGCACATTACAGTATTGGTTTATGTTAAAAAAAAATCTGAGGGTTTAATGTCACTTTAAGGCCACTTTAGGTCATTTTAGGTGAGCACAAGTGTATGTTTTGGGTAGACTGACACTTTAAGACAGCACAGCATCCTCTTTAGGGAGCAGAAGCAACAATTGATCACTCCCACCTCCTTCAGCTATGTATTGGTTACCGAGGCTGCTCATTGCAGTGAAGGATCAGTTGTGAGGTGTTGGGAAGGGCTGGGCTGCTCATAACCTTCTGTTCTGAGGTAGAGATTTGCTTATTAGATCTTCCCAGATTTGTTGCCCCCCCGGTGATAAGACAATGAAGGCCAGTGCATGCAGTCACCTGAGGGGTCCCTGCATTGTCTTCCCGCCAGTTTTAGATCCCGGTCTTGGAATTCCCAGGTCTACCCACATGCCCACCCACCTTACAAGAGAGCCATCCTGTTGGATCTTTAATTTTATATCAGAATATAATGGGTGGAGCAAATCAGACAGGCCAGGAGATATAATTCAGCGCAATAGAGTCCACCTGTAAGTGTTTATTTTTTTTTTTGAGTGGACTGACCCTTTAAGGTATGCTTTCCTCAACACGATGGTTTATAGTTTAGGATCAGTTGTGAGGTGTTGGGAAGGGCCGGGCAGCTCTTAACCTTCTGTTCTGATCTTCCCGGATTTGGGGTCCCCTGCTGATAAGAGAATGAAGGCCAGTGCATGCAGTCACCTGAGGGCCCCCTACATTTGTCTTCAGGCCAGTTTTAGAATCATTCAGCACATTCAAATCCACCTGTAAGTGGTATTTGAGTGGACTGACCCTTTAAGGTTTGCTTTTCCTTAACAGGGTGCTGAGAGAAAAGTCTATACCTCATGATAGCACTAGACTCTGAGGACGTGATCGGCTCTCGGTCCCTCTCTATGTAGTAGAACTGCTGTTGTGTGTTTTAGAAGTGTATTTGGTGAGGAAACATCCATAGATTTAATAATTTAACCAAACCTTCCGTGATCTGATCCTCCATATGTCATGCTAAAACATCACCTGAACGGTCGATGGAATCAGGGTGCGTCAGAGTTTTCATTAGATAAGGCATCCTAGCGAATCACCACTTCATCCACTTGGCGTGCTTTCTCAGAAGTGACACCTTGGATAGGAAGAACATTGCGTCTCTTGGCACTCAGCAGAATTAAGTGGTAAAGCCTGTGTGTTCACTTCCCTAAATACAGCTAGAATCTATTTCAGCGCTGCTTGGGCGTACTTCAAATTTTGTGATAAGATCAGACAGGTCAGCTATCTTCATTATGTCATCACTCATGTCTGCAGTGAACCAGTTTTTCCTGCTGACTCAGCACATTGCATAATGTCTATATCAGGTCGGTGTCAGCGGCTGTGCCATGAGCAGCCATCTTCTAATGAATCTTGTGTGATTGGCGGGCTTCGTCCGGCCTGCTGTCCTGAGAAGCACACGGGGAGCGTGGATGTGTGATGAGGCTCGTGCTGTACTGGGTGGGAAATGTAGAGCTGGACCAACCTCCCCACAGCCAACACACACACAATGAGTGAATAGTTATTGGAATTCTATCCAGATGTGCAGTGATTCTCCTTTCTAGTGATGTTACATGGTGATCTAGAGCCTTGGCTCTCAACTGGAGGGTCGTGACACAAAAGTGGGTCGCAAGCCCATGCTCAGTGGGTCGCCGTGCGCCTTCCACTGCACTAGGTAAGAGGTTCTTCTGCCTCCCCCCTAGTGCAGCACTGTCAGTTCTGGTGCCAAGCAGCCATTTAAAACATGCTGCCCGGCGCTGAGTGTCAGTTTAAGGTGGGGTTGGCTGGGGCTATGGCCGAGAGGGCGCTCCATCCATACATCCTTTGCTTACAGCTCCCTCACATGTCCTGTAGAGGTGCCTGGACTGGACTGACATCACATTCTGGCTCCCGACACCTCTTAATGCAAGGGAGCTGTACAAGCAATGAACCTATGGAGGGAGCTACAGCACAGCAGCCCACACTGGACCCCAGGCTGAGGATCCACCCCAGTTCTTGTAAGGTTGGGAGAACATAAAAAGGGCCAGTTCACACTAGTACAGTGCGTTATTCGCATAGTACTGTTTTCTGGTGTGGGAGGTGTGTTGCGTTGCCATTCATTTAAATGGTATCCCAAACGCACCTCCCACCCACAGTTCGTAGGCCTGCCCGGGAACGCGCGCTACCCTAAGGGCTTGTTCACACCAAACGCGGAGCAGATCCAGAGCAGGTGCAGACCGGATCAAAACTGCATTCAATGTATTCCTGGAACACACTGAAAGCCCATTTTAAACTTAAATTTTTTTTAAATTTTTTTTACCAAAAAGAGCCCAGAACGCATCAAAAACGCGTCTAAAAGACTAGTGTGCAGAAACCTGACCGGATCTGCTCTGCATTTGGTGTGAACAAGGCCTAATGCCATGTGTTCCATTGCAGTGCAGACATAGGTCGCGACTTAATGACCAAGGACAAATGCGGGTCCTGAGGTTACACAGGTTGAGAACCAGAGATCTAAAGGGACCATTAACACCTTCTGATTATAAAAGGATAAATGACAAGGACTATGGAGCGGAGGAAAGGCTTGAGCCTTGCCTGTAACCGGTGATGTGACAAAGTCCTTTAACACCAAAGGCTACAAGGCCAAGGCGCACCCCCTCCCCCTCTATAGGCTTCAGTAGTATAGTTGTAGGTCCTGCCATTTTTGTGCCCCTCTCTGCTAAAGTGCCCAAGGTGGGCCACCTCTTCTGACTACCCCTCAGCCCAGCACTGCCTGTAACCCAATAAGGAAAACTCATCTCTAACTTTCAGAACTATCACTGTGGCCAAGAATTTGGTTTCACTGTGATAGAGGCTTGACTTCCTCACGTTTCTCAACTTAACCCCGCCAGCTGCCATTCCAGCAAGACAGCTCTGTGGCCGGGAGGATTGAAGTTAATGGAGCCCTCAAGTCATTGATAGTCGGGCCCTGATAACAAAGGGGAACTGAGGCAGGAAGGGGCACAGAAAAGGCGTTTTGTGGCATGTGGTATCTTGTGGAGTCAGGTCTAAGGTAGAATATTTACTTTTTAATGTTTAGACTAATGTAAAGTTTACTTAAAAGAGAACTATGGGGTAAGTGTTTTCCCCATAGTTCTCTTAAGGGTCACGGGAGGACATATAGTAGCATCCTCCTCTGACCCAAAGCTCAGTATATAGCAAGCTACAGCTTATACTGAGAGCGCCACAGCCGGGACGGTTCCCGACAATGCTGTCGAGATCCCCCCCAGCTGAGTGATTGACAGCTGGCTCTGCCTATCTAATGAGGATGAGTGGAAATTATTAACCTCATAGTTCTCTTTTAACTAGTTACTCTAGAAGAAAAGACTCAAATGTTTTATGAGCAAGCTGTCATTTTTGTGGGTTCGTTGCCTCCATCACCAACATAAGGGCGTTGGCCACCATTGCTCTCTACCAGAAGAGACGGATATAATAAAGAATCTAACACAAATCTGGCATATGGATGCACTTTGACTTGTTTTACATGCAGGAGTCTTTAAATAGGACTGACGTGCTGAAACACTGTCTCAGTAAAAGGAAGTTGTAAGTGATATGTAACAGAAGATCGCGTGATGGAATGTTTTTGGTTTTCGTTTGCAGAAAAAGCCCGTGAGAAGGCGCTATGAGCCGTACGGGATGTATTCTGATGACGACGCTAACAGTGACGCATCTAGCGCATGTTCAGAAAGGTCTTATGGATCACGGAACGGGGGGATTCCGCACTACCTGCGCCAGACAGAGGACGTGGCGGAGGTCCTCAATCATTGCGCTATTTCCAATTGTTCAGAGAGGAAGGAGGGACTGATGGGACTACAAAACCTGCTCAAAAGTCAGCGGACGCTCAGGTAAATCGAGAGCCAAGTGTTTCTTTTCTGTGCGTTCTATTTTGGGATCTGAGTGGAGTAACGGGTGTTTTTTTATATATATTTCTAGCCGCGTGGAGCTGAAAAGATTGTGCGAGATATTCACTCGGATGTTTGCTGATCCGCACAGCAAGGTATATATTGTTATTTTATATGGAGCCTACGATTGTAGGAGTCGAATGTTGTAGATTTATAATGAAGCGTCTCTAGTTTGCAGAATTTGATCTCTCTATGTAGGGATGCAGCGGCTCTGCATTACATAGCTGTACTGATTGCATGGTGTGCTGCATGCCGAGCATGGGGGTGTCTGCATGATGAATATCTGAGTATGGAGATGGTTGATCCAGGAAAGCCACAAGATGGCCAACAGAACTGCTCATGCTGGAGGCAGCAAATCATTTCCTGGTGGAGCTTTTCCCGAGTTCACAGGATACCGTGCTGCTCTCTAGGATGAGCATTACCAGTGTGTTCACTACTAGTGATGGGCTCGGGCGTGTTCGCAAGTAGCCGATCACTACTCACTACCAGAGCGTGCATAGGAGATGAGTGACGTTGGGCTGGTTGGTTTAGTGAGAAGAAAGATTTACTGTGCTTTTTGATAACAACATGCGGGCCATAGGGCATAGTTGCCTCGGTGTAAAAAAGATTGGCTGCATTGGACCCCACTGCGTGGGAACTTGACCATGTTTGTCCGCAGCGTGTGGGAACTTGTTTGTACATGACTCCACTGCACGTGACCTTGACTGTCCTTGGCGCTCAGGACTTTGGCTGCCCTTAACTTTTCCCCTTGGACCCCTTGGCTGCGCTTGACCCTTCCCCTCGGGACCCCTTGGCTGCGCTGGTCCCCGCCGCTCGGGACCCCTTGGCTGCGCTGGTCCCCGCCGCTCGGGACCCCTTGGCTGCGCTGGTCCCCGCCGCTCGGGACCCCTTGGCTGCGCTGGTCCCCGCCGCTCGGGACCCCTTGGCTGCGCTGGTCCCCGCCGCTCGGGACCCCTTGGCTGCGCTGGTCCCCGCCGCTCGGGACCCCTTGGCTGCGCTGGTCCCCGCCGCTCGGGACCCCTTGGCTGCGCTGGTCCCCGCCGCTCGGGACCCCTTGGCTGCGCTGGTCCCCGCCGCTCGGGACCCCTTGGCTGCGCTGGTCCCCGCCGCTCGGGACCCCTTGGCTGCGCTGGTCCCCGCCGCTCGGGACCCCTTGGCTGCGCTGGTCCCCGCCGCTCGGGACCCCTTGGCTGCGCTGGTCCCCGCCGCTCGGGACCCCTTGGCTGCGCTGGTCCCCGCCGCTCGGGACCCCTTGGCTGCGCTGGTCCCCGCCGCTCGGGACCCCTTGGCTGCGCTGGTCCCCGCCGCTCGGGACCCCTTGGCTGCGCTGGTCCCCGCCGCTCGGGACCCCTTGGCTGCGCTGGTCCCCGCCGCTCGGGACCCCTTGGCTGCGCTGGTCCCCGCCGCTCGGGACCCCTTGGCTGCGCTGGTCCCCGCCGCTCGGGACCCCTTGGCTGCGCTTGACCCCGCCGCTCGGGAACCCTTGGCTGCGATTGTCCCCGCCGCTCAATAGCATTATACCGCTTGGCTTAAGGGTGTCTACAATCTTTTTACATCTGCGTCGCATTGTAGAGCTGCTTCATCTATTCAGATCCCAACAAGGAGCATTTGATATTGGTATTTTATTACAAGCTATATAAAGGTCCAGCAGAGAGAGAATGATAGTTCTCTAATCATTGTGTATGTGAAGTAAAAAGTTCTAGGAAGCTCTTAGCCTTTGATGTGTTACTCCAATTCTGATGCGGCTGATCGGGAGTCTAGATTCAGTCAATAGGCAGATTTTCCATTGCCGCTGATGTCCCTCGTAAAATAGGTAAATGTGAGCTCCGTATTCATGAAGAAACTAACGTGTGGTTTGTTTTATTGCATGCTCTGCCTTGCTGTGGATCTCACACCAGAGAGTAAGTGATATTTCTGCCTTGTATATTTCTCCATGTCTGTCCATCTCCTTATTCCATCCAAATGTTTGTTTTCTAAATTGGAATTTTCTTCAGAAGAGAATTTCTTTTCGATTTGCATTTTGTGACGTGTGAACGGCGTCCGCACTCTTCATAATGTTCATTGATCTCAGTGGACACAAAATGTGAATCTGTACGTGTCCTTTTGTCTTTTCTGTGTTGGGTAGGAGTGTTTTATTTGTACTGTGGTGAATGTAGCTCAGTCTAAATGTAATGCAGGTGAGGGAAGACATCCAACATGTTTGAGTCATGAATAAAACACAAATATTGGCGGATTTAGGAGGCTTATTATTCCCGAGACATCTTAGACCAGCCTTCTGTTTTTCTTTTTTGTGTCCACATGAAGGTAGAAGTTGCTGTGTGAATGATTTTCAGTTCTGATGCTTATGAATCGTTTGTTTTGTTCCCATGAAGCGGTTCTCTGATCCAGCGTTTCCTCGCTTTGAATACATTGGACGTCCCAGTACATGGAATCCAGTTTTGGGTCATTGGGCTCCTGTAAAAAAAATTGGTAATTTTGTTTTTTTATCGACCTTCTCGGTTTTTATGGCATTTCTGACATTCTGAAAGCCAAACCGGAAGAGAGAAGAGCTGTTTTTGGAAACTTTCAGCATTAAAGGAGAACTACGGGGTCAGTGCTTTTCCCCATAGTTCTCAGGGTAATGGGAGGACACATTAGGAGCCTTTATATTGGGAGCCGGTGGAACCTCCTGATTACGTTTACTCTCCCCTGCCCATTGGGGTTTGTTCAGTCCTATGTACTGTGTTGATTGTGAGCTCTCCGACATACTCTAACCTCTGTCATGGCTGCCGGCAGGTGTTCAGCATGTTCCTGGAAACCCTGGTGGATTTCGTCATCATTCACAAGGACGACCTGCAGGACTGGTTGTTCATTTTACTGACCCAACTCTTGAAGAAAATGGGGGCCGACCTGCTGGGTTCGGTGCAGGCCAAAGTCCAGAAAGCACTCGACGTGACAAGGTGAGAGCACGAAGACTAACATACAGGACTCGCTGTTTATTAGAAGGCACCATGTTTCCTTATTGACCACATGAGGATATTTCCATATTGATTTTTTAAAGGCAAAGCATTTGGTTTTGGATAGACTTGGGAAGGGTTAGACCTTTGGCCATATTGTTTTATTTCTCCATTGAAGGACACTTCCTGCGTTCCAAAGTGGACTCCAAGGAATGGATTTTAGTTACTATCCCCTGTTGTAGATCCAAAGCTACCTGTGTTACCTGCCAGCTCATAAATATACCATATAAATATAGACCATAAATGAGCATGGTCACACTGATGAGGTCTTCCTGGTACTCTCTGCCTCCTGTAAGCTGTCCTACCAGTGTCTCTCCCCTACTCCAGGCCCCAGTCCCTAAAAAACGTTAGACTGACAGCATTATGTATCGGGGTGGAGGACCTCCTTCCTCTGTCTCTTTTCCGTGGCAGAAGAGATTGTGTGAAGTTTAATATAAAGGCAGATTAAAAGCATTTTGAAATTAATTTAATGTGCATTTAAATCCCTTGTTAGATGAACTTGTTTTTGCGATCTGTCCTGCAGACGCAACAGGGAGTGGGAGAAAGGCTCTGCAGACTGAGGGGGGGGGGGTTCCCCTCTCGGTTGTCACCCGAACAGGGGTTCCATTTGAATGATTTACCCTCTATTCCTGATAAGTTTTTTGAGCTTCCCGTCACTTTGTGTATCGGTGACAACGGCCACCACACCCTAGCTTTGCACTAAATGCTAAACAGTGCATGCAGTATCGTGCACTAGGTGCATTGCGTTGCCGTTCATTTGGCTGGCACACAGACATACCTCCTGGAGGCCGTGCGTTGCAGTGATAAAAGTAGTACGATATAGTTTATCTCCCTTAGATACGTCTGTCTCCCACCTTGACTGCCTTTAGGCTTTCCCTAAACACATCTCTTCAGGGAAGCCGATCCCACCTCAACCTAACCGCTCAACCATCACGTTCTCAAACAATTCATCCCCACACAGCTCCCTCCTCATGTATCACTGGCCCCTCCTCTTTCAGATTGTAAGCCCTCAGGGGCGGGGCCCTCCTCACCATCTTGTCTTGAATTATATTGTAATGTCTTCCTTACATTGTAAAGCGCTGCGCACACTGTTGGCGCTCTATAAATACTATGTAATAATAATAGTTTGTGCGTTTAGTTCATTGCCATGGTGTGGACGGGTTCTGATGGAGAGGGTACCCAGCGAGGACACGCATATCAATAAAAACCTGCCGGGGGGTCTAACACTTCAACTACATTAAAAACGCAAAGAAAAATACACAAGTTCATGGGTTTTTTAAGGAATGCAAAACTAGACTAAAGTTTAGGTCTTTCTCTCCGGCCAATTTTGTTTTTATTTGTTGCCCTTGTGCTTTACATGTGGCTTTTGGTTGTATTGATGGCCTGTGACAACCAGTAAAATGTGAGACTCGACGAGGCCTGAAGAACACACAAAGTGAAGAATCATGAAGGGTTTGTGGCTGCAGATAGAGGTGTACAGGGGCTCTCATACCATATTCCATGGACTGCCTTTATTTATTGACCGGCACACGCCATTGATCTGATATTTCGTCTCCTATTACTCTGACTGAGTTCACTTTTGTCTCGGCAGGGATTCCTTCCCGTTTGATCAGCAGTTTAACATTTTGATGCGGTTCATCGTGGATCAGACTCAGACGCCGAATCTCAAGGTTGGTATTTGGTTTCTATACACCCGGAGATAAGATAATGAATCAATCGCTCTTCTGTCCGGTCACAGCAATGTGCACAGCCGTGTATGTGGCGTGACGTGAGGAAAGTTGTTGCAGCAGTATTGTGACTTCTCAGATCCACAATCTTTTCTCCAGCGAAGGGTTTTCATGCCAAGTCCGGCTGTTTGATTTATAGTCGGTTTAAAATAGAATTGTATTATTTGGCCTTACTCCATTAACGCAGTGCACCTTAAAGGACCAAAAAGTGCTTTTCACTCAGCTCATAGTCCTAGCCGACCTGTGACAATGAGACTGTCACAGGTCGGCTCAGTAGATCGGGAATTGTGCAAACACATACCGGCGTTCGCTCACCTCTCGATCTTGTCACTGCAGAGAGCCATGACATGGAAGTGACTGGATTCCCCGCTCCGATCCTCAAGCGCTGACTGGTGGAATGGACGGGGGAGGGGGCGGGTACAGCTGGCTCTGCCTCTAGATAGGCAGAGCCAGCTGTCACTCACGCAGCTGGGCGGATCCCGGCACAATTGTCGGGGTCAGCTGCGGCGTCTCAGTATATAGGGAGCTGCTGCTCCCTATATACTGAGCCTAGGGTGACGGGAGGACGCTAGTTTGTGTCCTCCCGTTACCCTAAGAGAACTATGGGGAAAAGCCCCGACCCCGTAGTTCTCCTTTAAAGCACACTGCATTAACGCACGCTGCATATGTGGTGCGGGTGTAACTTGCACACGAAGCCACAAACCGCAAAACATAAAAATAGCATGGGCTCAAATCTGCACCAAAATCGGTATAGTGTGCAGTTTCTTTTCCCTGTTGGAGAGATTTAATATCAAAACCTGTCTTTGGCTGTCAGTTTGTGGGACAGGACATAAGGGGAGATCTCCACGGGGACGGGGTCAGGTCATTAAAGCTCACATCCAGCCTCAAAGAATGTTAGTGTATTCAAAGGGCTTCCAGGGATATAAATCTACTTTGTGCACCAAAATGCTTTTGCAAACTCGGATATTATGTGTGCTGCACATAACCTGAGCAGAGCTGTGAGAGGGGTGCAGCAGGCCCCAACTACTACAGCGGGGGTGGGCAACTTCGGCCCTTCAGCTATGTGTTACCTACAAATCCCAGCATGCCTCTTGGGAGTTGTGGCTGTCAGTCTTGCAATGCATCATGGGACTTGTAGTTCCACAACAGCTGGAGTTGCCCAGCCCTTCTCTACAGGCTACGTGCCGAAAACTACAGGAGGGGAAAGAGCAGCAGTGACCGGTCATAATTGCAGGAAGCTCTGGCCTAAAGGTAAAGTGTCGGAATTGTTTTTTGGTGGAATACTGCTCAGACCTGGAAGAAAGTCCCAGAGCTCACCAAGATTCCAGTTCGAATACCCGCGGCCCTTGTATGAGGCAATGCTTTATGTAGGCCGCATTTCAGCTTTTAGGTAAATTTAATATTTTTTCATTTTTTTCCGCTTCTCTCTGGTAATACATTTGGGGTTTTCTGTAGGTGAAAGTCGCCATCTTAAAGTACATCGAGTCGCTGGCCCGGCAGATGGATCCTACAGACTTTGTGAACTCCAGCGAGACGCGGTTAGCGGTCTCCAGGATCATCACATGGACAACCGAACCAAAGAGCTCAGATGTCAGGAAGGTGAGTGTGCGCTGTGTACATGATGTGCGTCTGATCCGGTTATGGTCCTCTGTGATCTCTTCCAAATATCTGCCGGTTCTGTATGATAAGCAGACACGAGCACCTCGAACACAGAGCTCCGTGCAATGTCTCGTAATGTATAAAGTAGATGTAAACCCTGACATAGTTTGCCAGAGCTTGTTGTATAATCCATTCCATATACACTGAGTGGCCAGATTATTATGACCCCCCCATCAGTACTTCGTTGGGCCGCCTGGTGACTCCACGAGATGATGAAAGGTGATGCGAGGAATCTGACACGGCACTGTTACCCTTCTGTTGTCTTGTACCAGTCTTGCCCCTCCCCCGTTCTGCCCTAACATTGACTAGTCGCTGGCGGCCACAATTCGCACGCTCAGACCCAGATTTTCGGCTGGCAGTCCGGTCTTTAAACACTTTAACAATGAGCTGCTCTTGTACATGTAACGAATTCTGCTGTTTTGCTGATACTCGCTCCATGGCTCCGAGCGCCAACAATCATTCCAATCAAACCAACCCGCTTCCCTATTTATAATGGTCCGGCCCTCTAGCAACTTTAGCGCCAAATTATAGAACTTTGTATCTTCTCAGTGCTGCTGATCTCTTGCAGCCTCTTCCTGTCTACATGCACTCCAACGATGGCTGCATGGCATTTCTCAGGGCGGGTTTCCTGATGGTGACAATAGTGGGTCGTGTCTGTGTAATGCGTGTTCGGTCCAGCTCAACCCCTTCCTATGTGTTACTCACCACGCTAAGCACAGAAGCAGATCCATCCCATTGTGGTCAGTCATGTATCTTCTGACACGTGAGATAGAGGATGTGGTACCTGTAGTACTGCAGTCAGAATACACACGCCTCAGTGCACAGTGTGAGTACAGTGGCTTCTGGCGAGGGATGTCGGCCATCTTTGTATCCTTGCCTACAGCCCTAGTAGGGGTTCCACGGGTCTTCTCTTGGACTTGTGATGTCAGCAGAAGCTGCCGAGCATCTTTTGCATTCTTCGCCCCCAGCCTGCCGAGCTGCATAAGGGGAGCGGTACTCGGCAGTAACGTGACCTCTGAATCAAATAGTAAAAAAGGCAATTGTTTAAAATTTAGAGCTAAGTTTATTTCCGTAGAATCTTTCCCCGTCCAGAAGACCGATCCATCAGCACTCTATACACGGAAGAATCCTTCTAATATTTCTATAAAAAATCTTATTTTCCTGATTCTGCAGCTTCTACGAATGAATGTGCCGTGTGTCCATAGTTTGCTGCTCTGCATATGGAATGGCTTTGATTGGTTTTGTCTTTGTGATGGAAGCGTCACCCTGCTTAGTAAATTAGCCGTGTGTCATCTTTATAGCGCGAGCCGTATCCTGCGTGTATTTAGACCTCGGCATACGGATTGCAGACTGGCGCAGTTTGTCTTCGTGCCAGCTCCTGCCATCTGGAGGTAAATGAGTTTAGGCCGAAGTGGAGCTCAGCACCTCAATGACTTTATGATGTTTGTCTTCTGCCAGGAATACAATGTTCTGCTCTTATCTGTTCACGCGGATGTAATTCCACGCTGATTGGAGAAATCTGGTAAAATATTACTCGCCAGAGATTTCATTTTGTTTCTTATAACCAGAAGAAGATAAAGTGTCTCACACTTGCAGATGCTTTTTTGTAGAAAAACATTTTATGTATAGATTGACGCAACCTGGCCACGGACCACCTCCTGTCGCCGACCACATTGCTGGCCATGAACATTATGCAGTTGGTGGGATGGACAGTCTCTGACCTCCGGCCTTCCCTTCCATCTTCTATCTGACCTCCGTCCTCCCCTTCAGTCTCCTATCTGACCTCCGTCCTTCCCCTTCAGTCTCCTATCTGACCTCCATCCTTCCCCTTCAGTCTCCTATCTGACCTCCGTCCTTTCCCTTCAGTCTCCTATCTGACCTCCGTCCTCCCCTTCAGTCTTCTATCTGACCTCCGTCCTTTCCCTTCAATCTCCTATCTGACCTCCGTCCTCCCCCTTCAATCTCCTATCTGACCTCCGGCCTTCCCTTCCATCTTCTATCTGACCTCTGTCCTTCCCCTTCAGTCTCCTATCTGACCTCCGTCCTTCCCCTTCAGTCTCCTATCTGACCTCCATCCTTCCCCTTCAGTCTCCTATCTGACCTCCGTCCTTTCCCTTCAGTCTCCTATCTGACCTCCGTCCTCCCCTTCAGTCTGACCTCCGGCCTTCCCTTCAGTCTGACCTCTGTCCTTCCCCTTCAGTCTTCTATCTGACCTCCGTCCTCCCCTTCAGTCTTCTATCTGACCTCCGTCCTTCTCTTCAGTCTTCTATCTGACCTCCGTCCTTCTCTTCAGTCTTCTATCTGACCTCCGTCCTCCCCTTCAGTCTTCTATCTGACCTCCGTCCTCCCCTTCAGTCTTCTATCTGACCTCCATCCTTCCCTTCAGTCTTGCACAGTTGTACCGGCTCCTCTCCTGAACTGAAATTGCTTCCTCTGATTTCACTGCACACTGTGAGCTTTAAGAATGGACAGAACCAGTGATTGTGTATCCCATTAGGAGGAGCCTGGGTAGTGTATGAAATGCATCTTTCTGTATAAATATAAGAATATTGATGGTGTAAGGCCGCGCATGGTCTGGATAAGTAGATTCTGGTGTGTTGGGTGATGGATGAACCTGTCAGATTGCCGGCTGCTCAGATCACACCAATATTGTATCTCTTCTTAGTCATGTCCTTATCAAAGTGAGTATAACACCGCTCACCCTGGTGGTTATTATATTTTTATTACTGTCCCAGAATTTTTACACTGTGTGTGTTCCACACAATGTTTACTTTTCATCACCTTCCACAATGATGAAATCATTCGCGTACAGTCACATCAGGGTGAATGTCTCATAATTTGCAATAGATCTCAGCGCAGGTGACTTCCACATGCTCGGTGTGGCCTTATGACAAATCTCAGGCCCTGGTCACAGGGAAAGATGAGGGACAGAGAACATTTATAAAATGTAGACCACAAGAGCAAGGATAGTCTTTGGTGTATCATGTAGCGGGAACTTTCACCCATGTGAATCTTTTTTGATCAAATCTGTACAATTGAATACAGTTTCTTACTCATTTTGCCACCTCCAGGTGTCCATGGACCACTGCTGAGGTCAGATTGGCAGGAAGATCAGGGCTGTTTCTCTGGCTGACATTTGCTTAAAGGAGAACTACGGGGTCAGTGCTTTTCTCCATAGTTCTCCTTAGGGTAACGGGAGGACACAAACTAGCGTCCTCCCATGACCCAAATCTCAGTATACCGCCAGCTGTACTGAGACCGCCGCAGCCGGGACGGATCCCGACATTACTGTCGAGATCCACCAAGCTGCGTGACTGACAGCTGGCTCTGCCTATCTAGAGTCAGAGCCCCCATCAGTTCTGCTAGTCAGGGCTGGAAGAGCGGGGAGGGGGGGAATCCCTGCAGGGAGCCGTGAGTGACAGTCACCGCTCTCTGCAGGGACAGGATCAAGAAGTGAGCGAACGCCGGTATGTGTTCGCTCACCTCCCGATCTACTGAGCCGACCTGTGACAGTCTCATTATCACACGTCGGCTCGAACTATGAGGCTGAGTGGAAATCACTTGCTTCGTAATTCTCCTTTTAAATACATCTAAAGCAATATATGTAAATAGTTTTTGAGAGTATGGAATTGCTAAATCTGAACTCCAGAGAACAATATCGATTGTGTCGCCTAAAAATACGTTCCACAGATCTATTCAAACATGTGAGCGTTCCACTGCCCTGCTGTTTTCTGCACAGCAATCCTCCCACTGGCGCCCATGGGATACCCTGTATTTTGGGGGCCCGAAGATGAAGACTATAGCAGTCCCTTGTGGTTTCCGCTCTCAGAAAGGACTTTTAGTTGAAATAATTTTATAATGCTGACAGGTTCATGTTTCTGTTTAGGACGACTATATTCACACACGCACGCACACACACACACACACACACACGCACGCTCCGGCCCGGGGCAATATGACATGTACAGGTGATGTATAGTTTCTGTGCACCGCCTGACCTAAGTGGTTAAACACAAGCAAAACAATTGAGCCATCATGTCTGACAGCTTTTTCTTTTCTTTTTGCTTTTGACCCAAAATAGCTCCTTTTGATTTTTAGTAACTTGAGCAAAGATGACGAAGTTGTAAAACCGGCTCATCAGACATGAAAATGAAGGCGGTCAGGTTTGTGTGTCTATAAAACTGAGATAGAACCCCCTGACCTGATCATTACCAGCAACCAACTCTTCCATCCCCCCGGGCATCTGAGTCAGTGCTGGAGATACGCTGCTAATTGTTATATGCAAAAATTAAAGCCCAACTCCGGGCACAATAAACTTACCCGGGTTATAACCACCCGCATGCATACTTTCCTCTGAACCCATCAGATCGGCTGGTTTACATGTCGGGATTCGTATAGTTCTCGCTCTACTTCCAGGCTGCTCAGATATAAGTGCAGCAAATCTTCTAGAACAGGGGCAAAATGCTGCATTTTTGCAGATCGCACTGGACCGGAACGCAAACCGACATTTTATCGGTTTGTCTCCCGTTACGAGGAGAACACATTTAATCACCCGCGTCAGGAAGTCATAAATATGATGATTAGTGAGATGTCAGTGATACGTTTGTTGATAAAGTTACACTAAACGGTCTCGGGGTGCGTCCGCTCCTGGTCACAAATTGCAGCGGGTGACTTTGTATTGCTGAGAAGATGTTTCCCGTTTTTTTGATGCTGAAGGTCTATTCTGCATCTTGTCGCATTGTCCATCTGCCCTCCTCGCTCTGATCCCATTAGTGCCTTTTGCAGCGGGCAGCGCATATAAAAGACCTAATAATCCGCCTCCTGCACCTGATCCCACAAATGAGCTTTCCTCCCATTAACCTGTAATGGGTTTTGCGTTCACGTTTGTGAAGCGGTGTGTAAGATTGTGAGCTATAAACCAGCATGGCCTCCTCCGGGCA